GATAGCTTACATAATCATGTTGGTCTTTACCTTTACCCTCACCTGGAGTGACTTTGAATGCAGTTTCCCTTACTCTCTCTCCCTCTCTGAGCTCTGAGCCTGGTCCAGAAACCCTGGGTCTTACACTGTCAACACTCTGACATAGCAGCTAGGCAGCAAGACCCAACACATCAGATTCTCTCAATCTGAATTGTTGTACCCACAACTGGAGCCCACCGCGAGGGTTTCTTGTTTCTAGGCTCTCTATGCTCACCAATTATCACCCTACCATCCCTACTCCAAGCCTTATTCAACCACAGTCACTCTTTCATCAGTTTTCAGCATCACCTCCTCCCCCCTCCGCACAGATAAGCGATTTTCCCACGCGTTCTTCGACCGGATCTCTCGCAAATTCAGATTCGGATTCCCCTCGTTCAGGCCGTCATTTTGAGCCCTGGGTCACCCCATTTGGAGTAGAAGTGGTGGAGATATCGGGTTTTTCGTGTTTTTGAGAGGTTGAGGAGAGATAAGGTTGTTGTGGGAGTACCAAGGCCTGTCTATTCTAGCTCTTTTGGTCGTCCAGCATCCCTCTGTGGCTCTGCCCATCGCCCTAATCCGCTTCCTGAGATGACCAGCCAGTCCCTCCCTACTGCCTACCCCTTCCTCCTGCCCCCTCATCGCCCTATACGCGTTTTTCCTATTTCACCAGCCCATTTCGCATCGGAACCCCATCGACCCCACACCCATTTTGAAGCTCTCGTTCACGCCGACCTATCCACCGCATCCGTTTCCCAATTGGTCCACGTCTCCCCTCGCTATTCGCACTTCTCGCAATTTCCGCCCTTTTTCGCTATTTCCCCCATAACTTTCCCAATTCTTCGCCAATCTCCGTCAACCCCGTATCCATTTTGAAGCTCTCATCCACGCCGTCACATCCGCCACATCCGCTTCTCAATATGTCCGCCCCTTCACACGCTATCCGCATTTCTCGTGTTTTCCACCCCCCTGACCAATTCCTCTATAACTCGCCCATTCCTTCGCCAAACCCAGTGATCCCAATACTCATTTTGAAGCCCTCGCTCGCCCCTATCCATCCAGCTACTCCCCATCGTCATCCGTGCAGCCCTTACTCCGCTTTTTGCCGTTTTATCCTCCGAAGTCCTCCAGTACAGTCCTGGGGGCCAAGTTTTTGCCGTTTTGCCTGACCCTCACTCACTGACGCGGTTCACATGACAACAGTAGTCTGTGAAAACAGGTGTGTGGGGATCATCAGGTCAGTTTTCTCAAGTTCAGTTTAGTTTTGGCTGTATTGTGGAAATGACTGGGGACAGTCATGATTTAAAGGTCCCATGAGATGTAGGAACAAGTTCCTGGTTAGGCTTACTTTACCCCTATTTACCTTGCTTGTGTTGGCACTTGGATAGCTTACATAATCATGTTGGTCTTTACCTTTACCCTCACCTGGAGTGACTTTGAATGCAGTTTCCCTTACTCTCTCTCCCTCTCTGAGCTCTGAGCCTGGTCCAGAAACCCTGGGTCTTACACTGTCAACACTCTGACATAGCAGCTAGGCAGCAAGACCCAACACATCAGATTCTCTCAATCTGAATTGTTGTACCCACACCGCCCAAATTTCCTTCTGTAGGTACCATTTGAGGTTCAATATCCATCCAGTAGCAATATATATAACACACCTGGGTGGCATCTGTCAGGGCGTCCGGGAGGTACCATGCGATGATTGCACCGGATGCATCAACAATTGTCGCGGGTACGTCGATCAACTTTGTGCCCTCATGGCCAGGAGGACACCTCTCCAGCAACCTCGCCTCTCTCTCTTCATTATGTCCTGTGTCCTTCGGGGAGATCAATTTGCTATATCTTGCAACATCCATAGGCATCTGAACTGTGATGAAGCAATTTCACTGATCAAACGAATTTTCCGAATCTGCAGGAAGACTCACTGGGATTTTTATATGCCTTTATGAGCCGATCAACCAATTGATCACAAGCCATCACCAGATCAGTGTCTAGGTTCGGAGAAGGTATGACTGGGTCTCCTCCTGTCTTCTCTGCATTGAACTTCTGTTCCGTATAATCACATGCCACATGAGTGACACCCAGGGCCCAAGTGTTCAAGATGGTTATTTCATCTTCGGAAGTGGAAGAAACATCCATGATTGAATTGATCTTGTGAGATCAGAAGCTGAATCCTGGATGTCCGCACTTTGGTGTTCAAGGGGGTGGAGATAGAGAGGATCAGATAAGGGAGCCTTGGATGATCTTAGATTTCAAAGTTCTATTATCTATTATCATCTATTGCTCAACAAAATACCACATGATTGGAAGTCTGTTGGATATCTGACATTTGTTTGTTGAGACCCGGGCCCCAGATCTTGGTACACTTCACTCGATTTTCGATACCCAGGACTCCATAGCCGGAACTCGACTCTCGGTTTTCGGGTCTCGATGGTTGGGACTCGATGTTCGGGACTCAAAACGTGTAAAAATATGGTTTTCACATTTTGTGTTTTGAGTTTTGAGTTGTCTCTCGATGTTTGGGACTCAATAGTCGGGACTTGATACTCAATAATCCGGATTCGATAGTCGGGGCTCGGATCTCGGGTACACTTCACTCGATTTTCGGTAGTCGGAACTTGGCATTTGGCATGTGGTAGGCTTGGATGATGTTGGCTCTCAAAGATCTATTATCATCCATTGCTCAATGAAATACCAGATGATTGGAAGTGTGATGCATATCACATATTCGTTTGTCGAGACCCAGGTCCCGGAACTCGGTACACCGCTCGAGTTTCCACTTCACCCCTTTGCAGATCTCTATGCCATACTGCAAGACCTTCCTCTTCCATCTCAAAGCTTTGATGAACAGGGCCTGGAACAGTGCCATATGACATCATTAGATGACTTTGTGTTATTACCTTCTTTGATTTGGATGATATACAACTACCTGGGCTCCATCATGTCTACAATTATCATTCTCCTGGGCCCACCCGTCTATATTATATACCCCATGTCATGACCAGTGTTTGGATGAGGTATTTATCAAATTTCTCTTTGTTCTCCATCTCAGAATTTCTGGTGAGCAGTTATGGGGAGGAAAAACGACACCTGAAGTTGTTAGCAGGTAGCGACTCACGAACATGGCCCACCTGTCTATCTAATATTCCCTACGTCGGCCCACCTGTCTATGTAATAAATCATTCACCTCACCCTCGGTCTACCCATATTGTTAAGACCGTGTTCAATGGGTCGGACTGGAGGGGCTTAGCTTCAGCTCGTGCGCTGCGCTCTTTACCCGAGTACATGCCCCTAATTTACAGGGGGGGGGGGGTAGATATCATCGGCCGAGGGGTATGGACGGGCCGGACGAAAGAGGGAAGACTACCCGAGACTGCGTCCGGGTAGAAACTAACAAGGTATAGACTACCCGAAGGTAGAGGTGGAGGTATTTAGCCTTAGGGATATAATCCCGAGGCTCGGAGGATCGGACTAGGATAATAATCCTAAGAGCCGAGAGAACACGAGGATTGAACAGAGTCTAAGTTAATATTCGAACTCAGGAAATACTACAGGTTACAAAGGGTTTATATACTGTAGTGTATCCGACGGGTATCCGGCCGAAGCGCAGTCTGACTACCTTTGGCCCACCCATATACATCATAAATACTTTACAGCTCCCTTGGCCCACCCCTATATTATATACCCCATGTCATGACCAGTGTTTGGATGAGGTATTTATCAAATTTATCTTTATTCTCCATCTCAGAATTTCTGGTGAGCAGTTATGGGGAGGAAAAAATGACACCCGAAGTTGTTAGCAGGTAGCGACTCACGAACATGGCCCACCTGTCTATCTAATATTCCCTATGTCGGCCCACCTGTCTATCTAATAAATAATTCACCTCGCCCTCGGCCTACCCATATATCCAATATATGACTACTTTCGGCCCACCCGTATACATAATAAATACTTTACAGCTCCCTCGGCCCACCCATATATCCAATAAATATTTCACCACTCCCTCGGCCCACCCGTCTAAAAAATGGTACCAATATGTCGGCCCACCCGTCTAATATGATATATATCTGGGCCCACCCGTCTATTTGATAACAAGCACCCTTGACATACCCGGCTATTTGATACCCATCTACATAATATCCCACTACCTCGGCCCATCCGTCTATTGAATATTCATGTCCATCAGCCCACTCATCTACTCTACATATTCCCTACATGGGCCCACCCGTCTCTATCGGGAATAATAACATGCCCAGCCCATCCGTCATAATCGAGGATATATCTAACTTCGGCCCATGGTCCGCTGGCCCGTATCATACGGGATATTATGCACGTCCGTTCACTCGTATAATACGGAGATATGTTACTGCAATATGTGTTTAATTATCATCTTTCTACAGTTTGTACCTTTTTTTCCTGATTGTTTTAAATTTATAATTTCTTTAGGTCCGTGTACGTGTCGAACATGCATTTGCTGCATTGAAAGGGCGGTTTCAATCCCTTCGAGATCTCTGACAGAATATCAATTCAGCCGACGACTTGCGTGCCGCTGTCCATTGGATCCAGTGTTGTCTCATACTCCACAATATGATTATCCGGTTTGAAGAAAATCGAGCTCTTACAGAAGCCAGTGGCTCAGTGACATGGGCTCGTCAGGAGGACAGTAACATTCATGGAGCAGAGAATGAAGGACCCGATGGTGATGAGCAAGTGGGTGATAGGTTGTATGAAGGGACTCCGGGTCATGCATGTCGTGAGAGGTTGAAGGATCTCTTACTTGACAGTCCCCACTCAAGAGCAGTGCGAAGAGAAGGCTGAGGAATAGTTACAAACTTTATTGGCAAGCTACTAGTACAGAAGAACATCAGTGTATAGTAAGAACAGTACAACAGGACATGAGTAACATTTGCACAACATATACAACAGCGCGACAGCATGAAAACGGCATGAAACAAGAACAAACGAGACACCGGAAGCATCACACTCAAGACCCAGAATTAGAACTAGTGAGACGAGCAAGCTCGATCTTGAGGCATAGCGTTGCCGCCTCCTCTGCATGCACATTCGCCAATGTGTCATGCACTTTGATCTCGGCTTCACGAAGTCTTATCTCAGCATCTTTGGCCTCCTGGGAACGTTGATGCGCAACGGCAGCTTCGGCATAACCACCCGTGCGTTCAGCTTCGAGGTACTTGTGCTTGTTGAGCTGACGAGCAATATTGTACTTGACCATATACCGTTCGTTCTTCAGCTCGTCTCGAGAAACCCTGTCCAACTGCACTTTCTCGATCTCGTCTTTGTAAGTGTCAACTTGACTCTGAATGTCGGACCGCTGCTTCTTCACCCGCCTCTGTTTTCCCGCGGACGCGGAATTAGCTGGGGACAGTCATGGATGTTGACGCGAGTCCCGACGACGACACCGATGCAGGCTTGGACTGCGAAGATCCTGAAGAACGGCGAGAGATTGGTTTGGGTGACCCAGCGCTAGTGCGCCTCTTCGGATCAGCCATATTGAAGGAGGCGCGACCGTCGCGATGAGACGTTTGCGATGGGCGTGGTAGCACGAATTCAGATTGAGGCGGGGGGGTGATGGGAGGGGAAGGGGAAGGAGCTGGTCATTTTCGACGCAGCACGTGCAGACCTTGGCGGACTGTTGAGGCTGATAGGGTTAGGGTCGTCGTGGTAATCCCGTCGCAGGGGGGGAGGAGGCCTCGGTATATTGTTGAAGGAGAAGTCCATCGTCTCGTCATCGTCATAATCGGGCATGTTGATGTCGGTGTCGTCGAGAGGTGAATTGAAAGTGCTGTGAGAGGGGGCAGGGGGCAGGCCAGAATAAGGTTGATGTGGTTGTTGGCCATACTGCTGATGGCGCTCAGCCCCAGTTGCATAGTCCTGAGGGGCACGGTCAAAATGGTACTGATTGTGGGGAGGCTGACCGTCGGAAGAAGAGGAATAAGAAGGACCGCTTGAGGGAGGGTAAGGATGACCGCTCGAGGGATGGGGGGGCTGACTGCTGGAGGGAGGGTAAGGATGGCCGCTTGAGGGATGGTAAGGGTGGCCGCTTGAGGGAGGAGGGTAAGGCTGACCACCTGCAGGGGGGTAAGGCTGACTGCTGGAAGGATGCGGGGGCTGACTGCTGGAGGGATGTGGGGGCTGATTGATAGGAGGGGGGGCTGAGATTGAGGGGGGGGCTGAGACTGTTGAGCGTTAAATTGAGCGCTCCCAGAGCGCAGGGTGTCAGAATAGGAGCTGCCCGCCATACGCAAGATAGAAAAAAAGTTTGCCGAATGGTCGACCCCTGGGCGTGATGAGATGGTCTTGAGTGATAATGCCGGATTCCCCCCCATGATGCCAGCAAGGTCATCATACCAGGGGAATTCCTTTGAGATTTGCGCTGTGAATTTAATCAATTAGACTATCATAAATAGAAAGAAATACTTACCACGTAAATTCTGGGCGGTGGTTTCATCCTGCGGCATGATACCAGGCACCAGTCGCAGTTCAACTTGTCATGGCCTTGACGATACCTTTTCGCAAGGCTTTAAACTGAATATTATTAGTGTACATGACAAGAATGGACAGGAAAAAACATACCCAATGATGTGATTGCTCGTTGAGTCTCTGAACTTGTCCGGCCCAGCCGCATAGTAGCCCGCATATTCTTCATCACGCTCAAAGACATGCTTTGCGATAACGGCGCACAGCGGAAACCTTATCCTTGCCCGAGGGGCAGGTCACCATCATCCTGCGATTGCTTCCCGTCCGAGTAAAATAGGGATCCGGCAGTCAGCTGGGTGTTCGCGGAGGTGGTCGATAATCATTTGGGTGTGGAAAGGCACAGACTGCCATTGGATTGTGAATCTGGGCTGATCAGAGCCACTACCGGCAGCAGTACTTCATGTGCCTCGACTTTTGCCACCTTTTCCTGCGAGTGACGGGCCCCTGCATTTGTTCCATGGGCTTTTTGCTCCCTCGAATGGGCTTCTGTAAAGCTTGCAGTCGCGCAGAGTGACGACGAGGTGATGGTCGAACAACAGGCATACATTTCGAAGTCCGCTAGGGTGCCGAAGTCTGCCGCATGTCAGGTGCGTGTTTAGCCCGAGTTTGGTGGGTTTCTAACCGCGCTCTACCGGAACCTTACCGAGCTTTACCGAAAATTACAAAACTACTCTGAGTACCACTATTAATATCATTAACGATCAACCATTGTCGACCCCGAGTCCGTGTATGAATAACAGGCAACTAGCATTCCACCCGGCGAATTAAATGTATAGTAGTAAGGTGTGCGTCGACGGGCATCGGTTATAGCTTACGTTGATGTGCGTGCACGCGGTTTGTTTGGCAAAAGCTTTCAATCCAAACAACCCAAAACCTCCGTCAAAAGATATTTTCTACATTTCGGACTTTGACGTGGCAGGGTGAAAGAAATTGGGTGCATGCGAGGTGCGAGAGACGACAGAAAAGCCTTCCGGGTGTTTGGGCAGGGACACGGACAATCCCGTCTTGCGACGGGATTAGTCCACAACCAAGTGCATGCCGAGGGGAGGAGGACCCCAACCCTGAGCCAACGGCCAGGTGGAGCCGCAGGGGTGAGGAACAAGGCATGCTGCCCAAACACGAGAAAGTGGAGACTACTCAACAGGAAGGTAGTAGATTCTCGACATGGCGGGGGGGAGGATGTCTATGTTGCGCCAATACCTTAGAAATGCGTCTGAAGACCAACGCCCGAGTGTTTTGACTACGTCAGAAGGAACACCTGAGAGTAGAAGCTCAGTCGTTCCGCCAATACGGAAGGAGTGGCCTGATGCAGTGGGAACACCAGAAGCGATCCAAATAGCGTTACAGCAGTTCATGAATTTCTTTCGAGTGAGACAGCGAAGGCCATCAGAAGTCTGAAAGCAGAAGAGGGGAAGATTATGATCAAAGATATTCAGGTCGTGGGCACGGATTGGGTCCGAAAGGTCACGTTGATGGCAAATCACAACCTCTTTGCCTCGATTCTTCTTGACTTTAGTGTATGGAAGGAACAGTTTGCGGGAACCATTCGCGTTGATAGGCGGGGAGAGGTTGGATCTGCTCGCGATGTGAGCACTTTGGAAGGAGTGTTCCCAAGAGGAGAGGATTTCCCCAAGGCGAAGTTGGCCCCACATGGCCACGCATGCGGCTGCAAGGCAGCAAGCATCAAAAGAGTTGGCAAGATTGAGGTTGGAAGCTAAAACTAGCAACATTGAGCGGGAAACTGGTGGACGAGGAGGGCGAAAGGAGGAGGAAGGCGCCAGATTGGAGACGCTGCTTAACAAGAAGTGAAGACGTGAGCCCCCCATCCACTGGACATTGTGGTAGGCGTGCCAAGCCTTAAGGGCCGAAATGTGGTTGTGAACGTAGTCGCCTGCGAGGGAGCCCAGTCTTGAAGAGGCAAAGGCGCATAACAGAATTTTGCTGGCTGGACAGCGGTCGTGAGGTGAGATGTTCTCATGTTTGCAGAACAACAGGAAGTTGTGAATTGAACCCCGGTATTTGCGAAGGGTTGAATCAGCCCAGGCAGCATTGAGAGCTGCTTGGATGCGTGAATTAGCGAGGTTGGAAAGAAGCGGGTCTGAGCGGTAAGCTGAGGACGGCATATGCGTTGAAGTCGAAAAAGAAGCCAAGGATGAAGTAAGAGTGGGTGAGGAAAACTGACAGGAGAGTGAGAATCCAAGCAGGGTAGAAAAGGGAAGGAGGGAAAACCGAGCTGACAGGCTGGATTGAAATGCACATCACAATGGCAGGGAAAGAGCAATTAGAAAGGAATTACCTACCAGCCAAGGATGAGAAAATTAGTGGAAGGTAATAAAATGAGGAGTCTGGAGAAAGTAGAGCGCGGGGAGACTCTGTTCTCAAGCTCACCGCAACTACATAAAGGCAGGGAGCATAGAAGAGGATGGCCATAAGAGGCTCTGTTCTCAAGCTCACCGCAACTGTTCATGACAAGAACAAGTAATAACAAATTGCAATGCGACGGAAGTGGGGACAAAGATGCGACCAACCGTGGGACAAGCTACTGGGAAAATGCTACTTATATTAGGGACAGGTATTTCTTAAGGTATGAGGGGAGTGGTGGAGGAAACTGAAAACGAGATAAGTGAGAGGGGAACAACCCTCTGGAGATGCCATCCGACAGGTTATCAGTGGAACTAACCCAAACAACTGAAAGCCAGATGTTGTGGTCCAGCGCGAAGGAAGAGAGCCGCCGCAGAACATCATTCTGGGCAAGACTGTGTGAACGTCCTGCTTTGAGGGCCCCCACAACTCCTTGGTTGTCTGAATGGAATTGTAAGTGGACGTCACGGATACCTGAGTGGACAAGCGCTCTAAGCCCCAGGTCTATAGCAACCATCTCGGCCCAGCCTATGTCTTGTCCCTCGGTTTTCCAGTCTGGGAGAAGACGCCAGGCTAACCAGCGCTTGCCGGCGAGAAAGCCGATGCCGAATGAGGTGGACGCACCGACGAAGATGGAAAGATTGTGGGGAGGGGGGATGGTGCGCAGTTGACGAGTGCAAACATCAGCACCCAGTTGCGATCTCCACCACTCAACGTCGTCAAGGACTTTCTGAGGGATTCTGTGAAGTAGGAGGGGTGAGCTGGAGTGGTTGAATGAGGAAAGGAACCGGTGGAAGGAAGGGAGGTGCGAGCGTCCCTCGCGAAGAATGAGGCAGCAATGCTGCAGACAGCCAATAATGCCTTCACAGTCGGCGCGTGAGACAGAAGCGCTGAAGACCCATGGAATGAGGCGTTCGAGGTATTTGGAACGTTTGGAGAGGGGAATAGAGACGATCTTGAGGACGAGGTCCCAGGAGAAACCTAAGTAGAGAAAGAGAAATGCAAAGGCCATGAATTTTTCTGGGGCCCAGGGCCAGCCGAGTCGGAGTGCGATACTAAAAATGAGGGATTCGTCATAAGAATACACCCACGGACCGTGTGGGGAGAAGCGCTAAAGAGAACACGGAAGGAAGTGGAGAGAAAATGTTAGTGGCAGGCAGGAAAAAGAATGGAGCAGAGAGCGCAAGGGAAGGATGAGGGCTCACAGAAGGATAACGAAAGAAAATGAAGTTGTCGACCCATTTTAAGAGGTCTTTGACACCGTTGAACCTGTAGATGGCGACGATTGCGTCTCCAGGACGCCCAAACATGCCGTTGGAACTGGCACCCCCGAATGAAGCAGCGTGGTCGATCCAGATCTGGATGACCCCGTCGACCACATACATCACACAGACGTACCGCTGGTCTTCGGGTGCGATCGGCGGTGTGCAGAGGCCACGTCGAAAACAGCGACTTGCGTACCTGGAGGAGCCTCGGTGACGAGGCGTTCGCAGTCTTCCAATGTGCCCCAGTTACAGGGGAAGAGGGAGGAATCTATGGCAGAATTTACTGAGGGGATGAATTGATTATTGTGGGGGAAGGAATGGTCCTGAATAAGACGAAATTTAGTGGAGCCGGGTTTGGGAATAACACCCAGAGGGCTAGTGTGAAAGAAACCTATGAGGCATTCCAGGCAATCTGGGGAAAACGGGCCAGTATAACAGCGAGCGGCAACTTCAGAGTGGATGTAAGACAAGATGAAATCTGGGTGATCAAGAGCTGATTTGTGGTTGTTGGGGATGAAGGAGGAGGAAAGGGGAAAGGAATCCGGAACACCAAGGCACCAGCCAAATCGGATGCCTTTAGGAACATCCGCGAACTCCTTGAGTACTCCAGCACGTTCGAGGAGTTCGTGCCACTTCTCCCAGAGGAAGGGAGTGACAACTGGCAGAAACCCGTCACTGTGAGCACATTTGAGACGTGTGAGGGCCTCCACAGCGTGTGCAGAGGTGGCGTCGAAGGTGATGAAGGAGGTGCGGGTAGTGCCGCAGGCACGGGAGCGGCACTCAGAACTCCCACAGAAGATACATCTATGTGCGGAGGCATGGGCCTGTGGGGCAGGCCAAGCTGTAGAGGTTGGGGCTGTGAAATTCTTGGGGGCTGCAGACGGAACAGTGGGGGTATGAAAGGAGGATGTGGCAGAGCCAGAGCGTGCACCAGACGGAAAGGACGAGGAGGAAGGCTGGAGAGCTGGGGTGTTGTGCTCCTGGACAATGGCGCGCCAGACTTCTTCCTGCCACTCGAAGGGGGCAAAGGAGTGGTCGTGCACGAAGGATTGCCTCACCCGGATATCATACTTCAAGTAGAGGTGGAAGTTGACAAAAAAAGTCATAGCGGCGGGAAAGGACGGTGAAATGGGTCTCCCAGGAATCCGCGATGGCGTTCGCGTGATCGCCTGGGAGGTACCGACGGATCATGCTAACCAGGCGCGGCCACGCGTGGAGCCATTCTTCAGATGACAGGTTCCTCTCCGATTTACCGTTGAATTGGGGAGCGGTAACAGTGAGGACACCCCCTTTGACAGAGAGTGCCTGGTCGGCGTCAGACTGGGCGCGTGAGGAGGAGCCGAGTTGGAGAAGGGACTTGGTGGATAGGGCAGACAGGGGAATGTGTACTGCCCAGTTGTGCCACAGAGCGGTGGCCACCACCTTGGATTCTGGAAGGGTATTGCCGCAGAGCTTGGAAGGAGCTGAAGGTAGGGAACATTGAGTCGTCGAGGAGGATGAGCCCCCCAAGAGCGAAGCCAAGCCCCCAAGCTGTGCGCTGGGAAGCAGCGTGCGAGGGGGAGGCAGTGGAAGATTGCCTGTGGGGAGCGCTAGGAAAGGGGGCAGAAAAGTAAGCCCAGGAAGGAATGGGAGAGAAGGAGAGGCGCCTGGAAGCACCAGGAAGGAAGGTGCAGGGGGGGGGACATCAAGGGAGGGCGCATATATGCGCCCAAAGGAGGTCCAGGGAAGGCCCAGGAGGTCTGGGAAGGCGGGGAAGGAGGAGCAGAGGAAATGCTTACCTGGAAGGGAGGTAGGCAGGGGTGGAAACCCACTGCCGGACACAGGAGGCAGCAAGGTCTCCACGTCCAACACAGCTGCGTGGTCGCAGAATGCCAGGCGGACCTGGGCTCGAACTGTAGGGTCGAGGAGGTCGTGGCCAGCGGTAAGCCTAGAGAAGACCGCAAGAGCCTCTACTGCATAAGAGGAAGGAGGGGGAAGGGAGGAGGAACGCCCAGGAGAGCGACCCCCTGGGATGTGGAGGGTGAGACCGGAAGGAGCAGGAGAGGGGAGTGCTGAAGGGCCCGGTAAAGGCGAGGCTGGGGAGAAGCCTTGGAATTCTGGAGGGAAGGCCCTCTGCTTCCCTTTGGATTTTTTGGTAGCAGGGGGAGCAGCCAGAATGCATATGCACTCTGCCACGAGGAGGATGCACTGGTGAGAGCAGGCCGTCCTCTTCAACATGCTCGTCTGAAGGACAGATGACGCTGCCCAGGCGGGGCAGCCCAGGTGCGGTGTTTTCAGCCAAGTTGGCCAAGTCTGCCAGGGTGTCAGCGGGAGGTGAATCTGCACCGGCGGGTGAGTCGACAGGTGGAACTCGCTCAGGTGAGTCTGGGACAGGGGTTTCCACCACACGGGGGAAATGGCGGGTGCCCACCATCGAACCAAACAGGCGGAAGGAGAATGACGACGGCAAGAGCAACAAAAGAGCAGACTAGATACCACAGAGCGAGAATACAGAGTGCTACGAGCGATGTGCAGAACTACTACAAGGCGGATACCTCGTGGTGCAGGAACAAGAAGGATACTTCCGATGGAAGCGCACCACAACAGATCAGCCCAAAACCCCGCATCCCACGCTCTCGTGCCTCGTGCTGGAATGCAATCAAGACTACAGTGTACACAGCAATAGGCATGAGCGCTCACCAGTCGTTCCCTCCTCGTTCAGCATCTCATGCTTCTATCCATGCAGACGCTGAACACACATTTGATACTATGTCATTCCGCACACAGGATTCACTAGGCCAGCTCCAACGCACTGGCAGCAAATCTCCGTCAAATTTTCGTTAACACCACATCTGATCAAACGGGTGCTGACCGCAGTTGTATACCAGTTAAAAGATATCATTGACTGCGTCAAGGAGAGCCTCACGTGCGTTCTGTTTCAAATATATCATGTCCCTGTCTTGCGGTGGAGTCACTGATCATGATCATGCCTCCTGATCATTATACAAAGCTAATGGCACCCTCAGGGCCTTTACTCTCGTCTGGACGACCAAATGCGCGATTTCCGTGAGGAACAGGCTCAGCTCACCGAACATGTAAGGCGAGGATTTGGATTGGCCAGCCCAGAGCTGTTCCCTATTTTCTGGGGAAGTAAAATTGAAGCTGTGTGGGTGGTTAATGCTGCGGTGAGATATTTTGCGATGTGCCTTTCCACTTCCTAGTATGCTGAAAAGAATCTGCTTCTCGATACTCAGTGATTCTAATGTTCAATTTGCGAAATTGCAACTCTTTTTTTCTGTAGAACTCAGGATGAATTGGACGGTAGTCGACAAGGAGAAGTAGAAATCATCATATCATCATTTGAAATACACTCTTCTTGGTGATTTACCTACGGTGTTCAGAGACTTGGTGGGCACCCGTACCCTTGGTCGGTGTTACCCGTGCTGTACCCTGAGAGACGCTGTGGGTACAACAATTCAGATTGAGGTAATCTGGTGTTGGGTCTGTCTGCCTAGCTGCTATGTCAGAGTGTTGACAGTGTAAGACCCTAAAGGGTTTCTGGACCAGGCTCAGAGCTCAGAGAGAGAGAGAGAGTAAGGGAAACTGCATTCTAAATCACACCAGGTGATAGTAAGGGTAAAAGACCAACATGATTATGTAAGCTATCCAAGTGCCAACACAAGCAAGGTAAATAGGGGTAAAGTAAGCCTAACCAGGAACTTGTTCCTACAACGCGGTTAAATATTTGCTTATACTCGTTTAGCGCTCGCAGTCAACACTGCAGCAAATAAAGCCTCGAGGCAAACGATGTGGGACCATTCCTTATCTTTATTCGCTACAGACTGATTCAACTCGTCAACTGCTATTCGCAACGATGCCCAAAGGCAAGTCATCAAGGCTTTCAACTCAAGAAACCTACACATCTAACGAAGCACCAGCTCGTGAAGGCTCGGTATGTCACTCTCGAGGATTACCTGGTTCACTCCAAATCACTGAAATCAACGCATCCTTCATCTAGCACCAACCTCGATGCGAATTCAGTCGATTTCTGGGGGCGGTCAAGGGCAGTGTCAAGGACGATCTGAACAAGCTCAAACCCTCTGTGAGTCCACGAGCATGCGTACTGAGTGTCCTGGAATACCGCTAATATTGCACGACAGCGCTCAGAGGATTCTCACAGCTGCGGCCCTGTTCCCCAAAATGACGACCATTATGAACATGTTTTATCGACCCCGAATATCGAGGTAGGTTCTCAAACTTGCCCTTCAGTCTCTGCTCTCTCTCTAAATTTCGGTGGTCACATAGACTGATACCCAATCGGCACTTCGGGGTGCACAAGAGCCTGCAAAGCACCTTGGGCTATCTCCACTCGATTTCCCTGCCCTTTCACTCATTCCCCAGTGGCTGACGATGAGTATATTTCTACTGAGTGCAGATGAGGTGCTCATGCGCAACCACAGGGCCATTCCGAATTCAAAGACATCTCATCGACTGCAATGAATGTACAGAGGGTTATTCAAGTCTTCGGCGGCATCATTTTACACAGCACACCACATCTGTATGTATCAGCACTCCCATTCTCACCTGTCAACTCTCCACTATCCAGAAAGCTTTCCGCACGGTTTCCGAATGTTCTTCGTGCAGTATCTGGACATGATATGAACTGGCTGGCTGTTCAGGCCATGCTCAGGGGGCACCCTGATTCAGTTCAATCAGTCTCATTCTCGCCAGATGGAACTCGCATCGTCACTGGTTCGTTGGATATGACTGTTCGGTTGTGGGATGCAGCGATGGGGCAGCCAGTCGGTGAGCCCTTGCTGGGGCACACTCATTGGGTTCAATCAGTCGTGGAATCAATGCGCTGGATCTCTCAGACAGTGGATGCATGCTGGAGGGCATGACAGTCTGCTTGTCAATATATTGAACTTTTGTCAAGTCGAGACTGTGCGCACAGTTGGAAAAAGTATACGGGGGCATTAATTCCTATACAGTCGATCTTCCACGGGCACCTTGATATTCTTGACATGTCGACCCTTGCTCTGCTCCAACTAGCCAAACGAAGCAGCAGTTGAATTCATATCATTCCTCGTCATTTACGGTACATCTCCATCTTTGCTTTCTGCTTGTTTTGCTTCCAATTGTCTTTCATGACTTGTAATGCGTCGGGACCTCCTATCTGCTCCCGATGATCTTCTTCCCATACCACTCTACCTTTACCACCATTCACAATCCTTTACGTCTATTAATTAAAACTGTGCACCAACTTGCATGTGTAAAAACTCAAATAGCACCAAGTATTTTCCTCCTGAATCGGTTTTTTTTTTCAAGGTATACACAAGGTTTGTGTTGTCCTTTTTCAAATACGTACATATTACATTGGCTAAGTAATATGTAGGACAAGGACCAAGGTGAATGACGTTCTCAAGTTTCAACCACAACTCGGAGTCATGGACTAGGCATGTGCCGCATGGCAGAGCCTCATCGCCAACTTTTAAACTCGGCTCTCTTCCTTCTTGCAGCAGTATCACTTTCAACAGAGCGCACCTGTGGCTGTCAAGACTTGTGTGTAAGAAGCTTGCGCGGTAAGTTACATATGGGTCGACTCATGCCCGGGTTCGGAGTAATGCAAACGGCTCCAAAATGTGATTGACAGATGACCAGAAGATGGGACATACAGGCATATTTATGGTACATCATGTGGGCCCGGCCAATTCAACTTCAAGAGTAGCTAACACCACAGGGGACCCGATACGCGACGACAGCTGTGTCCTCTAGTCTGTCGACAACGTCATTTCAGAACGAGAAACACCCTACAATCTTGCCAAATGCACATCCATATGCAATCAAGACGATGTTTTTGTTATTCTTTCGCGGTCGAACTCGTCGCCACACTCACACTCAGTCAAACATAATTATATTCCCCAATCACCAACTTGATGACTCGTCCGAGGCATCGACACATGTCTTCCTTTTCATCTGTTGAAGGAACGAGCATCAATGAAATTCCTCGACCTTCTCCATTGCCCGTCCCTCCCTCCTTCAATTCCTTCTCTCCAACATGCGCATCTTCGCGTCCTCGCAGAGTGAAACGTGCAAACACCTTACCCTCTCTGCGGCCTCTGCAACTGTCCCTGTTTTTCATGATAATGCTGTTGTGGAGGACGATATGCTACCATTCCTTGTTGACAATTGGTCGATGATGCTCTCGCCAAACACGTCGAAGCTTTCTACGAGAAGATGTTTGAGGAGGGCATTATGGATTGTACACAGGCGGCCCGGGCACTCAACCATGCTACAAACGGCGTGAAGACGAAAGTGCCGCTCGAGCAGATGATGGGTTTCGTTCATATCGGTGTATAGTACTATCTTGCATGGCTTCATCCTAGTCTGGTACAGTTCTAATACAAGTTGTTGATCTTTTATCCTGTTGGCATAGCTGTTGTAGGATTACCCTGATACTTGCTTGCAGTGCTATCATCTACTCTTAGAAGTGACTTTTGAAACTTTATTCATTGCTTGAGTATTTGAAGAATTGTCTTCTCATCTACCATGACTGTTCCGCCGTATTCCTACTGCATCACACATCCTCCAATACACGGTCAACCAGATCCAGCCTGGTATACTCTTCCCCAAGTGAGCTCTTGGAATCTGCAGAAGCATTCAGAGTTAGGGATTCGACAGCAAATGAAAGTAGCATAGCCGTACTTGTGGCACAACAATAGCAGACCTGTGCCAGCCACACCACGAAGGATATTTACACCCGCTCTGGCTTTCATCGTGCGTGTCAGACGGTTAACTGTATCACTCCAGTGCAAACTTGACCTACCAAACAATGATTTTGCACCCTCTTTGGCCATGTGCCTTCCGGCGTCGATAAAGGACTTGTATTGTACCTACATCCATTAGTAGGCCGAGATGTGCTTAGCATATGACAAGATGGTCTACTTTTCCCCCCAGACGTCATCATCATTCGTCTCCTGATAATGTCAAGCGGGTAACTCCCTGGAGACTTATCTTCAAGGTCATTGTAGTTGTACAACCCTCAGCTCATTGTCATGCACATCCAATCCATAACAAAAGATGCAGCAAAGTTACCGCGCAGATTTCCCACTAGAAACGTGTCCCTAATGATGTCATACCCTCTGCAACTGGGTGACATCGTTTAACATAAAAATGCAGGTATAAAAACATGAACACACTCAAGTCCTCGATGCACGCAGATACCAACTACGCTGGGCACGAATCTCTATATAAGCCAACAATCCCGTCGGAACAGAAGGTCTGCCACCAGCCATCAGACCTCATTTCTAGTCAAGCCAGGCCGACTATTGACGACACCTATGTGGCAGCCTTGTAAGATCTAATCCAGAGTTACGCCTCTGTGTTCTTGATACCCTCTCTCCGGGAGCGAGCTGGAGGAGAACGGTGATACGGCCTCCACCGATCTCTGTTGTCTAATATGTCGACGTAGCCTGCTTCTGCGATGGGTGCGCCGATGCGGGCGACTCGGAATGGCGTGGCGTTGACGATGCGAGCTGCGCAGCGGAGTACAATTTGAAGAGCACTGTGTTTGAGAACGATAAGGTTGAAGTAGTGTAGAGTGAGGTCGCCGATGGATGTATCGATGAGCCTCTGATGACGACTTCTAGGTGATTTCTTTGAAGATCTGTTGAGTTATAGTAGACATAGAGGAGGAGAAAACTTTTCGAATTGTTGTTCTTCGCTGGGAGTGAACTGATCATTTCATTCGCATGTTGAGGACAGTGCCTTTTGGTTTGGTTTGGAAGTAAGGACAGCCACTTTCGCGTTTCAAACCTTTGAATGTGAGTGTGAATGCTGCATCGAGAGGTTTGGTAGAATTAATTACCTTCGAATCGGTTTGTGGCCAAACACAGTTGCCCCTTGTACGGCTTTGCTGCCCGTCCGTAAGAATTACCTCGACATCATCTACATAGGTGAATTGTTGTTTACTTGTAGATCTACCACCAAGGGTGAAACCAGTGAGGCCAAACCCGCGTTACAAGACTGCTAAGTACTTAGTACATAGCATGAACAGGCCAACTTGAGTGAAAAGCTCCGATCAGAATTCAGTAATGGCCAACCGAGGATCAGAGTCGCCGAGGCCCGAGGGTACCGGTCAGGATGAACTTCAAGTTAACTTGACTTTAAGATCAGAGACTACTTTATCAATATTCGAGATACATACACTGTGGCTTGCCTGCACTCAATCATGGGCTATTGTCCAGGCTCGATGTACAGCTAAGTTGATACACGACGACATCCGATTTAACGCGCAAAGACTCGACGCGGCTGCCAGTGAACATTGAATGCCTATACTCGTTCGTTTAGCGCTCGCAGTCAACACTACAGCAAATAAAGCGAGGCAAACAATGTAGGACCATTCCTTATCTTACTTCGCTGCAGATTGATTCAAATCACCAACTGCTATTCACAACAATGAGGGGCCAAAAGGCAAATCACTGATTCGAGAAACCCACACATCTAACGAAGCAACAGCCAGTGAAAGCTCGGTACATGACTCTTCGGGATCACTTGGTTCACCCCAATTGATGCATCCTTCGTCTAGCACCGACCCTGTAGCAAAGTTCGTCGATTTCTGGGGAAGGTTAAGGACGGTGTGAATAACCTCAGACCCTCTGTGAGTCCACGTGAATGCGTACTGAATGTCCTGGAATACGGCTAATGTTGCACAACAGTGCTTGAAGGATTCCGGCAGCCGCAGCCCTGTTCCCCCAAATGACGTCTATCATGAACTTGTTTCATCCACCCCAGAGATCGAGGTAGGTTCTCAAACTTGCCCTTTAGTCTCTGCGCTCTCTCTAAATTTTCGTGCAGGTTCAGGCTGTTCCGTCTGATTTGGAAGTGGAGGCTGATCCCCAATCGTCGAGGTTTTCTGTCAGAGGCAACGCGATCGGTGGGTGTAATCGCGCCAAGTGTGCTGATTTTCACATCAAGCAGTTTATCTGTCACAGGAGGGCGCGGCAACCTTAGGTCCGACATAGCCCCAGGACCGAACCTCCAAACGGGTTCGGGGTTACCCAGAACTGGTTCAAACGCGTCCGAACCTCTTCGAACTCATCTTCGTCGTCCTGCCGCGTCAACAATTGCCTGTGCTCAAAAACGAATAATGGTCCTACCTGTCATATCCAAGATTGCAGCGACAATCGGTACGCAGTGTTATGTAAGTAGCCTAAGCACTCAAGTTACAACTCCATTATTACTCGCTCCATGAGCCATTCCTTAATTGTTGGGTCAAATACGACGACGAGAACATTCACCTGACATGCCGTGATGTTCATCTGCTCGTATTTCCGCCTGTGATATTCTGCGAAGGTGCCTTTGTCCACGATACGGATGGATGGTAGGCCTTCTTGACCTGCCTTGCCAAACAACGATGTGATAATCATCGCTTGCACAGGCTACTCATCCTCGAGAACCTTATTATATAGATCTCATTTTGGATCTCATTGCAAGATGTTCAAGTTCAACTTCGACGTGGAGGACGATTCTGCGCAGGCAGTTATTCCAGACGCATTTACCGAGCTTTCTCTCGCAAACACAGTACGTATAATTACTGCTCATCTTCCGCTCACCTTCATGCCGTAAAAACTGATCTGGTGCACAGCCTACCATCCAAAATATCTTACTCTCCAATCACGATCCCACTCGCTAGCGGAGGTGAACTTTCACCTCCACGTCGTGATCTGTTCGATGTGAGGTTTCAATTGATCTCACAAAATGCTGATGACCCGGATGCATCGGAGCAACCGTCTATTTTCAACGCACGGTCTGCGCTGCAATTTTTTGATGCACTGTCAGACCTTGTGCCTCTCGTCTATGAGGGCAGCTTTGTACACGGCAAGCGCGTGTTAGAGGTGGGTATACAGTTCTCTGCGCTCTGTCAATAGACTCAAACTCATTAATGGCTGCCCAGATCGGATGTGGTACATCGATACCGTCGTTCTACATTCTCCATCGAATATTTTCTTCCCTGCCTTCTCAGAACCAGACGCATATCCACCTCCAGGACTTGGCGAATAAGAAGCGGATGGTTATCACTCGACTAGCACACTCCGACACCAAAACAGGTGTCTTCTTCCTGTTCAATGCAGGTCGTCTTGCCTTTGTCCTTCCCTTTCATGGTGGGAGAGTACGGCTGCGTATTTGGGGCTTTGGACTCGTTGAAGGTTGATAGGCATGTGCGTGGCTCTCTCCAACACGTCACCTGCATTGGGACGTCTTTTCGTACTAGAGTCTCTCACAATGTGTACTTTTGATCAGAAGTCGATTGGTGACTCACGAAACATTGTACATGTTGGTATCGTAGTGCTTGCGTACTAGACGAGAGACAATTTCAGAATTATGATACCCCTTCGCAACATAATCTTCAATGAATGGTCTTATAAGTTCATCGGGAGCTGTTGATTGAACATCAGGAATCAATGGTCCTTCAGATCGTAGTGCAGACCTGCCACTCGCGAGCCGGAACTCGACCATTCTTACCAAGTGCATTCAACATCTGTTAGTGTGACCTGCAACTCATAATAATCTATGTAGATGCAATAATACATACAGCGGACTTTAAAAAATACTGGGGAAACGCGAGAAAATGAACCGTCGCCAATCATCCACGGACCGCCATAGTAATCCGACTCAGTGTTTGAGTTGTCAAAAACACATGCAAAATTGTCGGAGGTGGCGTAAGGACCGCGCGACCGACGTGCTGTTCCCAAGGCCTATGACGGGGCCAACGGCTAGCTGTCCCAAATGCAAATTGTCTTGTTGCTTCCGCACGATGCAATCCTGCTGCCTCAAGGCGAATATGCTAGAGCAAGTACCCAGGCCTGCTTCGACTGAATCGAAGCCACCAAATATTCAGGGGCCTCTGCAAATACTAAAGTCAATCCACTGCAGAAAATTTGATTCAAGTCCAGGCTCAGAAAAGGAGTAGCTCGCGCGTATAAATGCCAATTGATATGACTACGCAACCCCCCAAAGCTATTACGAACGAAAAAGACATATGCGAGCGGCTTGGCGTATTGACCATCAACTTCGATTATGGTAATATTGCGGCCATCAATCGAAAAAATGCAGTTGGGCCTGCGCGCTATGTTCAGTAAGCAAAACGATACCGCTTTCGTGGCTGAACGTTGATGACCGCGTAGGGCACATCAGGGCCTCCATTGTAGCGCCCCACGCTGTTTATTAGCACTGTGCAGCTACAAATTGGTCTTTATCTGTGGACTTGACTTCGGGACGTTGATGCTACGTGTGCTCATTTGACTACTACAGGCTTTGCCAGTCCTGCAAACAGAGACTAACTTTGGTTCGCCCCTGAGGAACGGATGATGTACTTGAGGTCCCGATGCTCTAAGCGCCCGCGATTCAGAATAACGTGAGTGACCGCAGGGCTGGAAACTGCGCTCGCCTCGACACTCCGCAATTTGCAGCTGCTAGCATACTTAATACAAACAGACTCTGCGTTGCATTGACAATTTCATTTAGCATATATGCAAACCTGCATTACCCAACCTATGAATTCACCAAACCCAATTTGCCTCGTTCCAAAACAGCCTTGAATTCCAAGTGTTCCTCCACCGCAAACGAAGGTCATCGTTTGGATAGGCCGTTGCTCGGCGGAGCTGATCGAATACCATCTGAGCGCCCTTATCAGTATCTCCAACCAAGCGCCCGAGGCCCCATTCAGCGGCGAGCTTTGAGCCGTTTGGGACATCGGGGTGGGATCTGATCTATTGTGCTTGGTACCGTAATTCCGTTGAACGGACAAGGAAATCTTACCCAGTTGCGCTTGAATGATGCATCTCGGATTCACTTGGAATCAAAACGCCGCGGTAGAAGTCCGTGGTTTTCTATCAGCTGAATTGAGATGATGTCGTGGAAGATAACCACTAAACAAACATGCCTCTATCTCATCTTCTGTCAACGTCTCACCAACGCCTGCCGTTCCTTGTATCGCTGCGCATGGGCAATCAGCCTGAGCGAGGGTTTGCAGTGGATTGGAGAGAAATATAAATTCCCACCTGGCCTAATGAACTCAAAGGCTCTGTCGAAATTGTCTTCATCCACGCCGCTCATAACCGGCATATCCTGGTTGTGGATCTGTTTGTAGCGTCCCAAGGACTGAGGGAAGAAAGTTGCAATAACACTCCGTTAGCTGCTATCCCAGAGACCGAATGTGCCTGCCTCTTGTAAGAAAGATCAATCTTTGAGGCGTGCCAACGTTGGACATCCTCTTCGCTGCAAAGTCCTCGAATCGACGCCACAATCGTCAGAACGGCCGAAAGTCCTCCTGACAAATCCAAATGAACGCCAGAGGAAAAGAATGGGTCTATGAAAGCTTGAAAATGGTCAATTTTTGGGCAACGACAAACGTCAAGGGAAATACAATACCTGCGGCATCCCCTGCCGTGCGGAAATGATCCCCAGCATAAGCGGAAGCAGAGTAGCTATAGTCGCTCGCAGATTTCAGAGCTTTTGGTTTGCCGTCTTTTCAAATAGTGCCCTTTCCAATCATTTTTATGGTTCCAGGAGCCCTGAGTAATTCTTGCATGTAAAAGATTTGATTTGAATCTCTGGAGGTAGCGTGGAGAGCCTTCTTCTTGTGATTGCTTATTTCTTGATCCATAACAACGCCATCGATGCGGATCCGTCACGAAGATGAATGAACCAAGACCATCCAGATTCGTCTGCTAAAATTAAGTTCGTCATATTGACTTGAAATTGTTTTTCATACCTTCAAGCACTTCGTTCTAGATGACATGTTCACGCCTGGTCCCCGGCTTGTAAGTGTGCTCTGCATCCCAGTATACCCAGCATGCAACATTGTCAAGGGCTGGGTTAAAGCATCTGTTATTGAGAGACTTCGCGTACGCGATCCCGTTCTTTCCTGATGCATCAACCAGGTAGTTGAAGGGTATGCGACCCTCCATTACAGCGCCTGTATTCCTCCAGGTGGCTGAAACGGGTTTGGAATTGCCTTCGTCCTCAAACTGAATTTCAGTAACTCTTGTTTCTTCGATAGCGGTTGCGCCGCACTTGGAGGCATGGCGCAATAGCAAATCGTCAAATTCTGGTCTGATCTGTAAAAAGAGTCGAGACAGTACAAAAAAATAACCCCTAGAATATCGCAGACCGCTGACCAAGACCAATTATTTGGGTCCTGAGCCATCTGGAGCAGAAAATAAATAAGCACTCAGCGAATAGGAGGGATGGGGACCACGTCCATTTCGCTTGGATTGGCTCAACTTGATTGCGGCACCAGGCTGTACGACGAGGGCGGCGACCGTCTAATGTACTTCGACGCATTGAAGACCGCCCGCACCCTAATCTTGAACCCGTAGTCGACGACAGCCTCCTCTGCACCAATAAATGCCAAGAAAGGGTGGATCGACGCGAGCAGGCTCTCGCCGATATGATAACTGTCACAAAGATTAGCGACTGCGTGTACTAAAGATAGATATACGCTGACCGAGGGAACTTCGCAGCTTCGAGGAGAGAAACCTCAAAACCTTCTCGAGCCAACGCAGCGGCATGGGGCGACTTGAGGGACGCTCAGAAGAAACCGGCGCCATACGTATGTCCAATTTTTAGGGTCAAATCGACAATGTGCGCGACAAAGCGCTGGAGCACCGCGCCGCTGAACGGGATGTGTCAATATACACTCAAACAACAATATTTAGCGGCACGCACAACAGCTGGCGCGCATCATATACCCATTTCGCGACTAAAGCGCTTGCCGCTACCGGCGCTACAATAGGAGCTGCGAGTCCTGCCAAGGCAGGCGCGATGCCCACAATGGCTGCCGCTGTAGACAGTCCAACAGCCCTGTGAAAATAATAATGAAACAAAAATCAATCCACATGAAGAATCAGCCTACACGGCCCTGACGGGATTGGTAGTAGGTCCAACGTCTAGATTGTCAACCGTGTTCACCAACAACGTCTTGAACTCCTTGCTTTCCAAGTACTGTACACAAATAACATCGGAATACGTGCGATGATAGCGAAGATAGACATTACTTTATTAGGGTCGCGGAAGTTCCACACAGCAACGATGTCCGCGTGAAGCAAGCGTAGGCAGTCCTAAGTCGTGCGGTCCTGGAATGATGCGTACGATGCAAGCATCTTCCAATATCCTGTAAATAGGCTCGATCTCGAAGGCGGATAAACACACTCATGAGCTGTCAACGGGAATCAACAATGTTGTCGGTGTGCGATGTCCGAACTCAATAAATGATTGATGCGCTCACTCTTTGAACCCACGGGCCACGTCTTCGTCAACACGACTCGACCCTGACAGAGAATCAACCCGCTCGCAATCCATGACCGGATTAGCAGTGTCTCCTGTAGGCATGGCCGGAGGTCAGCGGAGACTTGCATCCCGAAAAAAAGAAAAAGACTGGAACGAACGTACTCGCAGGCCATCGACGGATCAGACATTTGTGCGGTTTGTGTGAGCGAGTAAAGGTCGGTGGGGGATCAATATACTCACATCCTGCTTATATATCAGCAATTTCAGTCAGCAAGCCACAAACTCAACGAAGGATCGCTGCACTCACCACCTGCGAACAGATGGGCAACATCTTCGCTCAGCAAGGCTCAAGCTCCAGCAGGATCAATGCAACTTGTGCGCTGCGAACAGTGGGCAATGGTTTCGATCGGTATGGCTCAAGCTCGAAGGATGAACAAAGCATCCGCACGCTATGAACGGCGGGCAATGACTCCGATTGGTATGTCTCGAGCTCGAAGGAGTTTGACACACTTGCAGCCTGTTTGAAAGGATACACTATCCCTTCCGGCGCAATCGGTACCCAATGGAAGTCGTAAGTCACCGCATGTCGCATACGCCTGTTTCAAAAGCCAGCTCGACGGTCAGGTAAGAGTGCAAGGTCAGTTAGTATTCAAAGCGAGTGAGCAAGGGCGACGATTACGTCTTTGGAAGCGACAATAAACTCGGCCGAACGAAGAAATGCCGTGAGTAGTATGCCGTACAATCGATGGTTTTATGTATGGACTCAGCTGGTCGTGCTCAGATGAACGCTAAAGCAAAGGATAAAAAAGGCGCATGCCGAGGAGACGCAGCTGTTGGCAACATCAAAGTGATACCCCCAGATTGCCAATACCGCGACTCACCTCATTTTCTTCATCTGCTGCCCAGTCGGTGTATCGCGCTAGGCGGCGCGTGCGACAGCTGAACCAGCAGGCAACGATGCCCCTCCCCCTCCGCATGGCGCATCCGTATTCCCAGTCATAACTCACGAGCGATGACGCATCTGATGAGGAAGGCAAGGTCGAAGATGTCTGTTACCTTGCTGATGACGACAGGCGTTAGCTGAGCGGCGCGAGCCGGACAAGCCCATGTTTTCTATGAAGTTGTGTTCATTCCACGCAGACACGGTCTTGGGCACAGGCCACTCGTTATGAAATCCTGCGGTTGGGTGTTGCGAGGGTAGAGGCAATGGGGGGCTGTACCCTCCTGACGTGAGTGACTGTTGGTGTTGGGGGCCCGTGGGTAGGCCTGTTTCTTAGATGAGCTGGAATACCATTGCTTCGCGTATTAAGATGGGGCTAGGGTTGGGTGCGTGGGTGTGTGCAGAATTAGATACTAGTCGTTTGCGCTGGCATTTGGGTAGGGATGTTAATTCTTGAACTCGTATGATAGGGTGTGAAACGGCGCATGAGTAAGATTAGGTATTCCATGACGAGGGCTTGTACCTGTGGCTCGTTATCTGATAATCTGAATTCCCGTCGCTAGTAGAGTCCCATGGATAAATCTCGACCGAGGAAATACGGTCAGGGTCATTGACAAAGACCGGACAGTTGGGGTACGGCTGACGGTCCAGAGATACTAGAGACGAGTATATCAGCTATCAACGGATTGCTCACCTCTTGGAGAGTATTTCTCTATAATGTGAATATTTCTAACCCTAGAACTCTCGGGACGGTGGAGTCGATGATTTATCGAGCTTGATAAAAACTGGGATGTCGCAATCATTAGATTCTCCTGCTCAATATCGACCTCTAAAGTACAATTTCACATCAGCATATTAACGTGCCAGATCCTGAAATTTACTCACCCTCCATAAGTCAGCCGTATCAGCGTCAATATCCTTCCATAAACCTCTCCGTCCTGATAGCCCTTTTCAAAGCGTCGAGCGGTCGAGTACTGGCCGACAATCTGCATCTTTTCAACAAGAAAGACACACGTACCTGCATTCCTAACAACGTTCAGTATGTTCAGACTCGGAAAAGATAAATTTTGTTTCCATGGGTACGTATTCCGGAGCAAGAGTGATCGACAATAACTTGTAAGTACGTACTTGCGCTGTATGATGTAATACCACGTGACTACATCTTGCATCTGAAATTTTCAGGCCTCTAATTTTGATTGGAACTACTGCTCACGCAGGCTCCGCTAGATTGTCATCTCCCACTCTCCAATCTAATGCAAAGGGTTTCTCCTCTCAGGCATCTGCGATACCAATCAGGTTATTTTAATGGAACTCAGTGTACTCTGTCGTTATGCAGTTACATTCCTCTCTCCCACACCTCCCTCTACTCACACCCATCGGCTTCACCCACAGTCGAACTTCTAAGTCCTGATCGACAACTTCCCTGGCTCCTGCGTCGAAAGTTGAAACCCTCATCCCGGGATCCGACCTCGCTGCTCATATGGGCACCCCCACCTCCTATCGCGAATTCACCCCCCCCCTCTCCCCCTCCCTCCCTATGCAGTGCCGAAGTTGATCTGATCGGTCTTAGCGCAATGTCACCATGGGACGAAGAAACTATCGTGAAACAGCTGGCGTAGGACCAAGAGGCTTGTGATCGTTCATGAGGTGGGGACGACGGTGGGTCCCTGAGACCGCCGTGGAGGAGTTTGACCAGGCAGTCGATGCTGCCAGTCAGACATTCAAGTCATGGAGTAAGCAAAGCGTTCTCGCTCGCCAACGTTTTGCCGTAGAGTGCGTTTTTGAGTACCCACATTACCAACGCCTGACCCAGTTACGCTGCATCCAGACTTCAGTGTCAAATCTGTCAGAATGTAGACGCACTTGCACACAGCATCGTTCTCGAGCAACCCTTGCCGGTACGTATACCGTCTCGGTCCTTTCTGTATCCTATCTAATCCGTGCTCTCCAGATGCTCACAGCGATGTCCTCCGCGCCAGTCTTCAAGTCGTCGAGTCTGCCATCGGCATCGCCTCTAACATTGTCTGCGAGACTTTGAGGCCATCAAGACGCGTCTGAATGGCAAAGCTGCCTGCATCCCAGGAGACTCTGAGGGTTTGGAGAAGGAGTGCAAAGATTGGATGGTGGGTTGGCAGGCGCTATTGGTGAGAAAGAAGGTATGTGCCAGTGTGCTACTTGACTTTTCAGACATGGTGCGCTCACATCACCGTAGTCAGCAAAGACGTGGAAATTGAAGTTCGAAAGCTCTCTTGGCATTTGTGCGAGGTCCGTTCTGATGCGCCCTACGGCGTAAAAATATGCTTACCTCTTACAGCATTGCGCCTTTCAACTTCCCGGCGCAAGCTCTTTTTTCCCCATGCGTCCCTGGCTTACCCCTTACATCCCTATTCAGCGTGACTCCCCATTGGACAATTCCCTACTAATAACTTATCTTGCGCTCTCACAAAGTCATTCTTCATTCGCGATTCTTACTCAGCATTCGCAAAAGTCGCGGTCTTCACGTCCCTTTCGAGCGTATATCGATTCATGCAGTATCCTATGTCCATTCCATGCAATGTCGCGAATCTATTCGAATGGGCCTGTTTCCGACACGGTCTTGGTCGATCGCGAGGCTCTGCATCTTTCTTCCTATGGCTGGACGCTCAATGTGTAGCAGGGGGGGACTACTGCTGATACGAACACGACGGCGTGTTTGGATCGTTCTTCGTCTCCCTTCTTCTCTCATCGCCAAACTTTGAGACACGTCTCGTTCCACTCTTTCCGTACTTTTGCCCATCACTGCTGCGTCAAACATTGCCCTTGCTCAACCTGACCCAGCTGACCCAAACCCCCTTGTCGACAACGCCTAAGCTTACCCGTCAGGAATTGTGAGCTTCAATTCCTCTTTCGTGTGCGCTTACGTTCACACTGGAACGACTTTTTCAAGTCCTGCCAAGTCGACTCAACACCGCCACTATCCGCGGCCCTCAGGTTGGCTACAGTATCTGTAACTCTACCGCTGAGAACCAGAATTCTATGTGCCAAACCTCAATGGTTAACCCCATCGATGGCGCGTCCTTTGCAACCATCGCACGCGGTTATCGCTCAAAATGACAATTTTCTTATTTTTCAGATTTCTGCTTGCGGGCGCCTTTCACCTCCACTAGCGGCGATACTGCGCAAGAGGAGGTTGCACGGCGTGCTAAGTCTGGTCACGGCATTCGTCTCATTCCCAACGGCGCCCTTCAGGGCGTTCAGTTACTCCGCACGTTGGAGTACATCCAGATTGCTGGTTTCATTGACCAGACGGCTGGACCGAGTAAGTCATTCGTCTGGAATCAATTCCCGTTCTCATTCTCACGCGCCGTAGCTTCATGGGTGGCAACGTGGGTGACGTGCGCAGCCTTTTCCACAGATGCAATGTTCCTCCTCACTGCCAGCTCGGGTCTACACGCCCCCATATACAAGTGGGATCTTTCCACTAACATCAAAGATATTAGCCTTGTGGCCAACGATGTAAATGTAAGTTGGATATATATCGCCCTCAGTCGCACTGACAATGGATATACACCCCCAGGTTGATGCTACGCGAAGAAGCCTCTGAGTTATAGCAAACTAGCTCCATCGTTCAAGTCCAAAGATCAACTCAACGAACTGATATTGGAAGCAGAGAGCACTTCATATAACCCCAGTCATTCCGACAAACTCGCCGCGCAGCTTCAGCAGGACTTCCTGACTCACCTACAATCGCAGGATCTCAGTGACGAGCGGGAGTTTGGCAATGACCTCACGTTCTCCATAGCACTTCTGTGCAATCGTCTGCAACAGTGCGCGTCGGGTGATGATAGGGCGAATGCAGTGGAAGAAGTGGAAAGGAGAATCGCATCCTTGAATCTCAATCTCTCTCTCACCTACGCTCAGATGGCTTTGACGGAGTCGCGGCAGTTCCTTTTGCACCAAATATTGCCATTTTTGCGGCCAGCGCCAGAGATCCGGTCGAACCTCCTATCGCTCTCCGCCGCAATATCCGGAGACCTGGTTTTGGAGAAAAGGTCGGGAGACATAATGGCGAAACTCCATGGCACGTAATTCAACTTCTTATCAATCCTTGAAGCGGCCTGGTTCTCTGATTCGGATACCGACAAGCACATCACGTCCTTCACAAACCTCGTGGACAACATGCACAAAGTCCTGTTGAATGAGGCGCAACCTCCATCTCAGTAATTCCCGAAACAACTACCCACACCCTTCCATCAAATACTGCTCCAGGTCATCTGCTTTTGTGTTCGCCAGTGCCAGAATCTTGCCGGGCGACCTAAAGTCCTCATTGCGCTCTCCTAAGACTAGGACTACCGCTCGGCGCTCATGATCATCGGCTATTTCGTTTTTGTCTACATCGGATTCAGAAATGTACTAACTATTTTGTGCTATTATTTCACTCCATAACTTACAACTTTGCCAAGTCCCCGCCCACACCAATAAACAAAACTCCACTTTCTTTGTGTTTTGTCGCAAGCATATGATACGTTAATTTCGTGGTGACTGCGTCATGTTGCCGTTCCAACGCTCAAGCTCCAAATAATGTCGACGTCATTTTGACACACCGCAAAAATATAAATCAGCCCTTCATCGGTTTCTCCTCGTGCCCTTTGTGATTTCTGCGAACTTCAAACTTTCCCACTAACCTCTGTCATGCCTGGTTCATCCATTCTAGCCGGAATTCTTCCCTTGACCAACTCACGCCATATTTTCGCTCAGAAGTCTAAAACTGTCACATACACTGTAACAGCCCTTTCACGGATCCGTCAACGACACGACTCGCGCATCCTATTGCCGGAAGACGAAACAAATGTTAATTCCAAGACATCGAATTTTGTTTATAAAGAATTGTTATTAGAAACAAATTAGATTTATCCAACGAGCCGCGCAGCCGCGGCAAGCACTTGTAAATTATAATCTGCGCACTAACATCTCCTTACAGGCCAGTGCAGATGAAAATTCAAGGCTCGACCGCCCTCTGAATGTTAGCATTTCATATTGTTTTTTGTTGTTTGCACAACTCATACATCACCGTCATTACAGTCTCATGTAACTCGTCCTCCTCCTATACTTAGTCTGCCGCTACCAAGTGACATCGCCGGTCATATCGTACACCCACGCGCCACATAGACCTCTGTCTGAATTACACTCAGAGCAGCCCGGTATACTACGTCACCTCCGCAGAATCCTTCGCTTCTCTTCTCGCGCAAGAGTCACCGTTCCTCCTGTTTGGACAGATCAGACTTACGATCCAAGAGGTGTATGTCTCTCTATCTTGAATCATTCACTGTTAGCTGGATGATCTCCCGCCAGTTCTCTGCTATATCCCTACCTTCCAACCATGTTCCCTTGTGGCAGGCCATAATTCACTTTAATGATGTTAGTCTTCACTTTTGATGAACACATGATGCATTATTGACTACGCGCCCAGGTCGAAGCGATTTCTATGCCCAACACCCTAAACTCACGCTCGATTCATCTGCCATATCCGCCAGCATGGACGCCGTGACCGCCAACACTGCTTAACGTGTCACCTGCGAGATATGAGCCCTTGGCCAGGTGAAGAACCTTGGAGACTTCTGCAATTCGTTTTGGCACTGACTGCGTTCATTCATTGATCGAGCTCACCATCTCGGACCTAGAGGCAAGATGGAGTCGCTAAGGTGCCCACTAATATATCTAGGCGGACATCGGCCGCTCACATAGTGCCATTTAGGTTACTCGCTTTACACAATATTCGCTTGCGCAGGCCTAGGAAGATAACGAACGACATATTTCAAAACAAAAACTCTACCCTAGCTGGATGCTTATCATTCGGGATTGAATCCAGGAAATTTCTCGGCTACGCTGCAGCGCTGCACAATCGATGTTGATTTTACGATGGAAAAGGTTTGGATATCCCCTGGATATATATATCTACCTCATCAATTAATTTGTATGTATACAGATCAATTGGTGGTTCTCAATCACAGCCCCGGCTCCGGTTTTTCAATTCGCAGGATTGGCCATGATAGTAGTGCCCAAACAGCAAGACATGATGACATCTAGGTCGCTCGAGTTGAGCGTAAAGTATGGTGATTTGCAACCAACAAGGCCCTTGAACTGAATACTGGCTCCTCCGCATGGGAGATAAGGAAGAGCCTGAAGACATACCCAAACCACGCATGTACAGCTCAAGCCATCAATTACTCTCTGCCCATTGTCTAGCCGTTATGCAAGGTGAGACTCTTTGTCCGCCATCGCGGGCTCGTCAAAAACCACTAGTATCACAATCAATGTTCTTGATACTGAGCCACGGTGAGCAGGCGATGGCTGGAAGAGCTTAGCCATAGATCCAAGTCAACGAAGAACCACGTTTGGAACCGTAAGTTTGGAGATCGCCGTTGAGAACCTTGGACTAACAATCTTTGTTGATCCAGCCCGTCATTCATCAAGGAAATCCTTTGGTTTCCAAGCGAGGATCTAATCGCGCTCGAGGATGGCTGGAAGTAGATGCAGTTCAAGGAATCCGGCATCACACAGTCAAACCGGGAGTATGAAGGAAATTAATTACCTAAGTAGCAATTGTTCTACATCTGTAGGTCATCCAAAAAGCAGAGGGCAAACAATTCGTAGGTTTGCATTAGTTCAAGTGAGGCATGTGCTAAGATATTTTTTATCAGCCATGGTATCGCTACTTTGATCTCGACCATCTTGAATTGGCGAGCTTATCGGTATTCCAAATGCCGGAAGGCTCGTGCATTGCTTGGTGCGCAGCTTCCCCAAGTTGTAGCCGCAAGCACAAGTGCAGTCCATCGCCCGCTCCCTTCTTTGTATCGACTTATCCATTGTCCCTGACTTCCAATGGGGCGAGAAGACCCACGGAACAACCAAGACATCCCTCATCATGATTGAAAATGTCGATGGAGAGATTGTTCTTTTCCAAGACTCATTCGTCTTGCGCCAGCGCTATGCCGAGGATGAACATAACATCACTATCGCGGTTCCGATGTTTGAGCCCCCCAAATTACTACATATCTGTTGTCTCCGACCCAGTCACCAGTTTTCTCGTGGGCTCGAAACAGTGGAATGAGGGCGTGCGATACAAAGAGGCGTAAAGAGTAGTAAAATGGCGTGATTGCTGCGACGAAATCATCCACAACACCTTTATCGGTCGAGCCTCCATTGCTTGAGACCTTCATTGCATAGGAACGATCGAAGGAGAACAAAACGCGCAGATATGATGTCGCACAATCGATCTGTGGACGAGCCCTCGAGTCTGCCAGAGAGGAGGGAATGTAGTTGCTGGTTCGTTCTGCATAGAACAATAGTCAAGAAAAAAGCGGCATAGTGAACCAAAGGACAGAAACCTACATATCTATAAGAGTCGACCGAGCTGGCTCTCCGGGCATTGCAAAACCTTGCGAGTGAGGGTCATCTGGGAGGTTTGGAAGGGTCGGGAGGGATGTTTGAGCGTGTCGTTGGAGAGGGTCGTCAGGGAAGTTTGGAAGGGTTGTCAAGGAGGTTTAAGAGGGTTGTCGAGGAGGTTTGAGAGGTCTAACGGGGAGGTCTGGGAGGACCGTTTGCGATGTTTAGGGGGACCGTCAATATATAGGTCATGTGATGTGTGAGGGTTGAGAAGAGGCTCGCGACGGCAAATAGAGGTTTGTGCGGAGGCTGTAAGTGTTGATTCAAGGCCTGAATGCGAGCGGCAGCAGCAGCCTCAGCTACGGAATATGTGAGCCAGTCTGCAAGTGACTCAAATACCAACAAAAATGTACTGTTGTACTTGCAGTATTCCTCCGGTTGGTCTTCAGGCCGAGTGTTTGAGTCTATAATATTATTCAAGCCCTCAGAAGAGCTTGCATCCGGAGACGGAGAAACGATATGATACAAGTCATTTGGAGCTAAGAAGTCTGATGTTGAGGGATGAATCTCGATGATCAGGCGAGTGCTTGGTGCAGAGACGGAATGAACTCACATAAACCAGTGAGGGCAACTCATACTGTGCAGCATACCGATCCAACTAATATACGAGAGAGGCCGCAGAGGGCTAGGCTAACCATGCCTGGTGCAGGATGCCCCAAATCGGTAACTGGTGCAGGTATGATGGAGGACCAGCTTTTTTCGGTGAGTCTCAAAGGCCAGACAGAGACGGTGCATAGTACCCATAAGCATGAATGGAGTGCTCGCGAGCTTCTCCAGTGCACCCGAACTTGGCAGCGCATTGATGCCTACAGATCTTCATTTGTCGAGTCACTTGCCGGACCTTAAGTGAGCGTGACACCCGAACAGAGAATACAATGGCACTCACATAATAAACCACGCAGCATAGATCAGCATTGAAATATTGATGAGGCATTGACGCGGCACTGATGCAGCGTGAAAGTGGGCCTTGACACGGAATAGGTAAGTGTGGAGGTTGACATACACAACAGAAAATACCTTGACATGCCCGCGCAATACATCAACAAGCGCTTCACATTGTAGGTTGTCATGGACCGTATCGCTCAACTTTAAGATGAGATCCAAGGTGTGGGCTCGAGGTGCGCAAAGTCAACCCAACAGGCAACCCAAACTCACTTTGACTTCAAATCCTCCGCAATAGGCAGATCAGGATCAAACAAATGCACCTCCACCACCCACTGGAACAAGTTCTCATTGAACTCTGGAGGCATGTACCATCCCAAAGTAGCAAGTAAGTCCGCGCCCCCCTGTTCTTTCATTGTTGCCCTGCGCTCTTTTTGTAGCGCCGTTGTTGCTCCTGGGGTCGAATCGGCAGGCGGAGGCAACAAGAGGTCGATGTTCTTCTCCACCCAGCTCGCATCGCGTACCCAATCTCGCTTTGGTTTTCCGTTGGCATACGGTGCGCTACTCTTCAGCTTCGCTTCCTCTTCATCTGGTGCGTTAGACGCAGCGCTGTCGTCCTCATCGAGGTCAGGCAGGACGTATGCGTCTTGGCAAAGCCTGAGAAGTTTCTCAAGTTTGTATGAAGGCCGTGGCATCTCGACTTGGGCATTCAAGAGTGGTGGACGGCGATGAGGATCGTTTGATAAAGGAACGTTCCGGATGTTTGACTCGGCGGGGGTGGCGGCGGCGACGCTGATCTGTTCATTAGAATGCGAGCTATCGAACACGTTGACTAGTAGGTGTCGACTACAAACAAGATCGTCAGTCTTTCATGACTGAGCTGAAGTATCATTCTTACCGCATAATCCATTCTGTTTGCTTTACCACGTAAAACGGATTTTGCGAGGTAAATGTTTGCGGGAGATTGATGATCTCAGCGAGAGCTACGCAAGCTGAAGGGATGTTTGTGCTATTCTTCCAAGACAGTGAGCTGACCATGGCATAGAAGTCCATTGAAACAACGCGGTCCTTGGCGAAGTAGACGCCTGAACGAGATAAGATGCGTCATCGTCGGATACGGGATTGTCTACTTGCCATCTCCGTACGGCCGGCCATGTGCGATGGTCTTATACCGCAGTCCGCGCCATATGATCTATCAAACATCTCGGTGGCCGAACACCGGTTCTTCAGAGGTGACCCATGGAAAGCATGTGCGCCGTAGTAAGAAAACATTGCAACTGACGAAAGTACAAAGACGAATACATAGAGAGTGGGGTACTTCTTCGCATTAGAATAAGCCACGCGGAAGGGGCTCGTCAACAACTTGTTCGGCAGCAGCAACATAAGTGAGGGAAACCAGGAGATCTACCATCTCAGTCTTCTTGCAGAAGTCATACTGAACAAGTTGATAAGTAAATGCCGATGATATTTCGAGCGCAAAGTCACTGACCTCTAGAGAGGGCCTAAAGTTGAGGCTATAATATTGGTATGCAAAAGTTTTTTGTGACAGACGACGCAATAACGATTGCATAGCTGTTGATAATAGATCAGTGCAAGTCGCAACGTCCATCTCAATAGCACTGACTGTGAATCGACGTAGAATGTACGCAAACAGTCTCGAGCAAGCTGATGCGATCATCTTGTTTGTACAAGGGATCATGAGGCAAGTAGCGAGAGCCAGCGAGGTGTTTTTCCTCCTCGTCAGCTTGACGAAGTTCCTAGAAATCGCCAATGTGAATATGACAGTTACTTATGTTGATCTAAACACGCACCTGCTGCATCTCCTCGACGAGAATTGCAGGCGATTTCTGAAGTTCCTGTGATCTCCAGTGGAGTTCTTCTGCTGAGGCCTATCCACTGGCAAATTTGAACTGTCGTCGAACTCAGAGCAGTTGAAGGAAGCGCTCATCAAGTAACGATTCAAGCAAGCTGCTCAAGTTAAACTTGTCAAAGGCGCCGTCATCCTGTACCGGCCCGATTTCGGAACCCTTGTCAACGTTGATGTATTCTTCGACCATTCCATCTTCGACACTATTATGCTGGTCGGACTAGAGGCCGTGTTGGCGGAGTGAAGCGATGACATGTTCCTTTGACGGTTTGTACAGTCGCGGGAGGCCGACATAGAACTTCAACGAGGTGCAAGAATTGACTGCAGCAGGGGAGAGCGTCCCATTACTCCGAACAGGTGGATAGACGCCCCAGAATCCAGAAATCACCAGCACGAGATGCTGGCGAGGAAGTGGGAATTGATTATCCCTGAAGCTCTCTGCGATGACTTTCCAATTGGCGCAGGTTGCACACACGAGCCACGGACACCGAGTCTATGAGTCAAATGGGAGGCGCAGGGAACAGCCTGAGCGGGAACTTCCTCGTTGCGCCACGTGTTTGCATATGCGATCGAATGTTTCACGTGATCTGAACAAGTTGAAGAAACCCTTGCGGCAGGGCGGCAACTTGGCAAGACGCGACTTCCGAATCCTATCCTTGCAGTACTACTCACACGATACGCCATATGCAGCTTTAATGTTTTAATGCTCCATCGTCGCATGGTTACTAGACACTGGAGGCATCTCATTTTCCGAGCGCTTTGCGGCTTCCTCGCAATCTGAATTTCCAAATGCGGTCCCAGGCCTGGGCCGCTCCCCTCAGATTGCATGTACCCGCGCAGTACTTCTGGCTGAGCTGGACCTTCCCCGCCGGTCATGACCGGGACAGCGAAGCGTTCGTGGAGTCCCATAATTGGTCGCACGAATCCATAGCCATCCCTTGCCTCAGCAAATCCGCCTGCAGGCCAAGCGCTGGGACCCATCCGAGCGTACCATAGCTCAAGGTAAGCACATTCCTAATGAAGTCATGGGTCCTGGCAAGCGACCGACTTTGTAATGGTCTACCTAGGTTGCCCCGTCACTTAACTCAATGGTTCCCGCGTTTAAACATGCGTTTGCGCGCTTGGCAGAATTGCAGATCGGAAATGTCCGACCTGGAGCAGCGAGACACGGTAGCAGATTGCTATATGTATGTACTCTGCCGTCTGTCCGGATGCCGGCCTTGTTCTCAACTCGACAATATTGTACATTCTGCAGATTATACAAATGCAATGTTCGATATTGTTTGTTCTGACGAGTCTCGCGAATAAAATCCTCCTCTCCTTGCCTGGTGCTTCCTACTCGCGATAATGTAATTCAATTCAACTCGTTTCTCTTGGACTGTGCGTCGTCGGGCAAATTTAGTGCTTAGGCTCCAGGGAGAGGGTAGGTTCAATTGAGCAGCAAATCTCACCGAATCATACCGTGATTCACAGCGTACAAATTTAGCACGACATTTGCATTTGGGTCAAAGTAAGTGCGTTGTCTGTCTTCGCCCATCTACTTGTATTTATAATAATGTACAGAAGGGACCGCCGTGCGGCTGTCGCTCGCACGCCAGCGTCCTTGACATGTCTGACATCACAGACCAGATACTCGAGTCTGAAGCTGACGGCGGAGACAAAAAAACTAGAAGACTCCGTGTCTCTGGCACTGCCCTCCTTACATGGTGATTACGAGCTGACAACTATTCGTGTTCAAGAACAGGATGGTTCTCAGAAGCCACGCAGCAGCGCAAGCAAACAGCTGACTCTGTCAAGCAGCTGTACAGATATTTTAGTCGCTGACTGGGATGGCCCAAACGACCCTCTCAATCCTAAAAAGTGTGTTTGCATGATCGGAGCAGCATGTTTATTGGGCTTAGAGTTCTCGTACAGTTGGAGCTTGGGACGCGAATGGACCGCGACCGCGACCGTAATCGTATCATTGTTTGCTTTCATCAGTCCAATTTCAATTTCTTCCTCTACGGCTGCGCCTGCTATTGGCCAAGCTTCTGCTACCTTCGGGATTAACAACAATGTTATACTCGCACTCACAACATCCATCTTTGTGCTTGCGTACGGTAAGCGAATCCGATGGCTCCTAGATGCTTGTACCATTGATCGACCACACCACAAACCAGCGATAGGGCCCTTTTTTGCATCCCCGATGAGTGAGATTTATGGTCGGTCGCGCGTTTTGATATTGGGAAATTTATGGTTTCTCGGTATGCAAACTTTACAAGCTGAACGATATTTTTCATCTCGAATTCTTGAACACGATAGCGTGGAATCTTGGCTGTGGATTCGCACGGACAGAATACCAGCTTCTTGCCTTTCTATTCCTCGCTGGCCGCGGAGGCAGCGCACCATCAACTGTAAGGTTTTAAATAATATGTTAAGAACGTGCCATCTGAATGTCGCTGTTCAGGTTGTCGCTGGTGTTCTGGGTGATTGCTGGTGAGCAGAAGGGAGGGGAAAGCTATAGTTCTTTACTCCTTAGCACCGCTGTTGGGACCTGTTTTGGGACCTATCGCAGGCGCCTGGTTAGTGGGTGTTAATGCTTACCTGAAGTTCGGTGACCTGATCTAATTGTTTGAAGGATCGCTGAACGCTCGACGTGGAGATGGGTTGTATGCGGTCGTTTCACAAATCACGGACTGCTCTTATTCTCCGATAGTTTCGGTCTACGTCCATTGCCGATGTAGTTGTTCAAATCCTCGGTATGCTTTTACTCCAAGAGAGTGAGTAATTGACTAGTAGCGACTGTTCTATCCTTACTATTTTTTTTGCTTAGCTTACGCCCCCTCTTGTTGGAAAGGAAAGCGCAACGGATGCACAAATCAGCGGTCGCCGAAAGAGCCCCGTACAGAGAAATCCGCGCCATTCTCGAAGGTGAACGTCGCTTGTAAGTTCCTCTCTCCATCCCTGAAAGACGATGTCATCTAATGGCGATGATTTCCATAGTTGACGAGAGCTATGGATAAGATCTGCGTTCGTCTGAAGAGTAAAAATGGAGGAGTTGGGAAGCCGGAGCTCAGATTGCGTTTGCCATGGCGGTGTTGCCTTCTCCCTGCACAGCGCCCAATGCGCCATCAACTGCTACGTTCCCCGCGACCCAGCTACTTCCAATAGGGTGTTTGATCGCCGGCTGGAGCGCTCAAGCACATACTCATTGGATGATTCCAGATATCGTCAGTTTCATTCCATCAGTTCCGTATCCCTACTGACGTGAAGCTCGACAGCGCATCGCGCTTGCAGGATCAGGCATTATACTGAAATTCCAGCGTATGCAGCTCTATATCGTTGATGGCTTTATCCCTCACGCTGCTTCGGGTATGTATCGTGTTTTTGACGTGTTTCCATCGCACCTATCTCGCACCTTGCGCGTTCAGCATTAGCCGCAGTCTCTTTCCAACGGTCGCTGTGAGGCTTTGCGTTTCCTTTATTTACTCCAGCGATGCACATCGCACTTGGGTTCGGGAAGGGCGACGCGGTCCTTGCAGTCGCTGTAATCGTGATTGGCTGCCCCGCGTATATACATCAGTTTTTCCATCATTACACTTGCTGATTGAGCTTGGAGGCCCTGGATATTTTGGCATTACGGAGAGCGGATACAAAATTGGCCGCTGGTATTGGAGCGCGCTATCGTTGCGAGATTAGTGGTTCGGGCAGCAAAGGACTATCCTTTGTAGCGTATCAATTCCGAGCCCTGCCGTATCGGATCGACAATTGGGCGAGCAGCTGGCGCTGTTACAGCCACGCCGCTGCCAAGCGCCAACAACTGAGGAAAAGCCTCAGCCGTCCATAAAGATTGAGTGTAATATAGACGCTACAGGTCTGCCAGAGTAGTCGGAGATGATCATAATACCGAAGGTTTTGTCGTCGATGCATAATTCACCTTTCAGGGCGATGCAAGCTGCGCCGTTCATAATGTTTGCTCCAGCGCTCTCCCGAGTTTGTCATCTCAAAAAAAAATTTGAAATTTGAATTCCCATACATATTCTGGGGCAGCCGCAAACCGCCGAAGCTGACGTGTCGCAGACAACAGCGCCAAATATTAGGGCCTCCCCAGGCAACAGCGACAAACACTCCCTTCCCTCCATCCCAATCTTCTTTGGAATTCCGCGCGTTGACTAGGGAGAGCCGTCCCCCAAACTGGCACACGCTCAGCGTGGTAACGGTCGCCGCGATAGCTAGATTAGCATGCCCTCAGGGCAACGCGGTAGCGCGGAGTTTCCCTCCAATCTTCTTTGGAATTCCTTGCGTTGATTAGGGAGAGCCGTCCCTTTTAACTGGCATGCGCCCTGCGTGGTGATCCATAGGGAGAGCCGTCCCTTCTTAACTGGCACGCGCCCTGCGTGGTGATCCATAGGGAGAGCCATCCCTTCTTAACTGGCACGCGCTCTGCGTGGTGATCCGTAGGGAGAGCCGTCCCTTTTTAACTGGCACGCGCTCTGCGCGGTTACTGCATCTGCAGCGCTTAAACTGCTTCTGCAGGCCCCAAAAACTGCATCTGCAGCACTTAAACTGCTTCTGCAGGCCCCAAAAACTGCATCTGCAGCGCTTAAACTGCTTCTGCAGGCCCCAATACTGCTTCTGCAGGCTCCTTGACAGCGTACAATATCAAATGTTTTTCAACCTACGCCGTAAAGGAGAGTATGTCGCACGGGATGTAGTTTTTATCTATGATTCAAAATCCAATTCTAGATGGGTTAATGAAGTACTTTCATAAGGGAAGCGATTTGGGACGCGGCGCTTTTCGTACAAAGCGCAGTATCGCGGGATATTGACTTTACCGTCTACGGCCGCTACGCTTGATAACCTACCGTATATAACCGTTGCCTCTCCGCTGAGTCGCTAACTTCAGGCCCTCAATAGGACACCTTCAACGTGACCTGCCTCCAAAGCTTCGAAGCTATGATAATGTACGGGTATGTTTCTTTTACAAATCTTTTGTCTACATCGTTTCAATTATATTAACTTCACGCCAGATCTACTCGGCAAGCTTGCAGCGTCTCAGCGCCGCCATAGGCTCGCCCCATCCCTACCCATTCTTGCACATTCGGCGCAGCAATGCCTACTCTGGCATCCCATCCACGCTGCACCTTCCTCCAACCCCGCATAGCATTATCCGACCCCACATTCTCATTATCGTCGAAGCCTTTGAATAAGTTATGGGAATAGACCGCGGATCACAATTCATTCGAGAAGATTTGCTGGGCGCAAGAGGATGGAACGGTGCGAGAGGATGGGACGGGGGTGCGAGAGGGGTGTGAGAGGGTGGGCCGGAGGTGCAAGAGGGGTTCGAGGGGATGGGATGGAAGTGCGCGATTACATGGACTTATCAAACTCGCCTCGGCTCAAACGACGCGGCGGTTACAGATGTAGCACGGCGTATCATAAGTGAGGCGCTTAAGCTTGCGATTTGCTGTGCACGTCGCACGATATTTGTACTCCTGCAGCTGGGTTTGCACATGCTTGCCAACTCGATAAACAAACCCCCATCTCAGGCTAGACGTGTCAGTAGCGCGTCGCTAAAATCAACCTCAAGGGAGTCAACTCACATCCTGCGAAAGTTGCCTTAGTGAAACCTCCCCATAAGTACCCCGCTAGTACTGATCGTACTCCGAATCATACGTCTTAACCTCGACAGAAGCTGAAAATATCATTCCAGATGCGTCTGCAGACTCTGCACCCAACTTCCTGCTGGGAGCCGTGAGCGCCCGCATACAAAGCATCTATCCAGCTGACGTACAAATGCGGCAGGGCATGCTCAAAGTCCTGTCCAACGCGGCAGGCGTCATCTCTTTTCGAGTTGCGATGAAAAAGTAGATAAAAGTATGCGTATCGTACCTTCACCTGTTCCCCATACGACATCCCCGATGCTTGGGGTACAGGAAAAAATATATGAGCCGCGAAGAAGCCCCGGTACTCGGCCATATCCAAGCTTCCGCCAATTTTTTAAAAATCCTTGGTTATTGTTCGTTGGGGCTGCATCCTAGGTTGGACATTACCTACTCTATTTCTACTCCATCTGTATGCACGCTTTGGCCAAGCTTTGTTCTTCTATGCTGTACATTGGTCCTGGCTTGCACGCGGACGTTGGGGCATTTCTTCAGGCTCTTGTTATGATTGTGAGTTGTCTGTCTCTTTTCCTCTTCTCCTTCTCCTTCTTTGGGGAGTTGCATCTCCGAAGGTCTGCTCTAGCCACCCCATGCGCGCGGTGTACGTTAGCGTTTCTCTCATTCATTTGTTCTCGTTCAGCAGGCGTTTGATATTGCATTGTAGTGGCCCGACGTCCTTTCGCAGTTCTCTTCGTTGGTTTGCATATGCCGGACAGACTAAGATGAAGCGGTGTACTGTCTCGTCATGGTTGTCGGATGCCGGGCAGCGAGCCGTCTGCAATTTGGCGATCCTTTTTTAAGAACGCGATTTGCCATCCCATCTACCAGGGTTAGTGGTTTTCTGTTGCTCTTTGCGCCTCTTGGTCCTCTTGGACCCTTCTTTCAAGGCAAACTCTCTCTTTAGCTCTTTTACGCGAGACTCACGCCGCTCGGTGATTCTTCTCTTGACCGCTCTTTCGCAGCTTCTGCTTTGACACGGGACATGTAACTCGCGCCCTCCATCGTCGATTCACTTGCGGCGTCGGCGAAGGATTCATCCAGCAGTCCGATTACACCGCTGGCGTCCCCTCGTGGGTCGGCGGAGGACTCACGCTGGTCGTCCGACTCCGATTCCCTGCCCTGAGTGATGCGAAAGGACTCTAGTGCTTCGCGCTGGGCGTCTAGATCCACTTCCTCATCCCCTAACTCGACATTACCCCCAATTCCTCGGGTCTGCAGCCTTCCCTTCGTCCTTCGATAGACCTTCCCCTGGGGACGCTGTGCTTTCCTTGGAGTTTGGAGACTAAAAAAGCATTTCCTAGTCTCGATTTCATTCGATCATTATTCGTCAACTTCTTCCCCGCTAACTTGACCGAGCGTTCTTGCTCCTGGTTCAATCCGGAGGTTCACGCCCTCTCCTCAGATACCTCACGCGATGGGGTTCTCCGCCCTCGTTTTCTCCGGAGGCTCATCCATTCGCTTGGCTGGTTGTCACGTCGCCGCGATTTCTTTCGCCAGGACAGGCTGCAGCACGTCTGCCAGCGTGACTAGAATTCCGCAACACCGCCAAGTAAGTGGCTCCAAGCTAAACATGATGTCTGATCGGGAGGTGGATGAGGCATTTATGTTCCCCGGCATAGATGCAATAGAAGGAGTAATGGAGTACGAGCCCTAGTAGTAAAATTTTCTACGTACCTGGATTAATGTTATCGTTTTCACGATGGATTCAAACGTGCGGCCGTGGGACATCGCGCGCGCAAGTTCAACTTTAACTTCTACTTCAATATTTGTCTATCTACCGTCTCACCCTGGATTGACGCTAGCTATGATGCGGACATCGCAAACAAGCCAAAAGACTACGGGAGGGCCTGCAAGACGCGGTAAACTACCAAGCCCTTGCCGACACATCATCGCAGCCATCTCCCTTCCGAATCTCAGATGGGTGACTTGGGGAAGGGCGTTATCCGCAACTGGAGATAACAATAATTCTTTTCTGTGACTTTCTATGCCCACATTATCTGAGGTTATTGCTGGTGGCTGCCGCGGAGCTGGGGAATCCGTATGTGGTTTTGGCGACTATGTCCGGCGCGCTCAAGGGATGCGTCTCTGAGCCTTGAGGTACAATCTCCGGTTGCGGCTCGCTTGTAATAACATCGGGCGCAGCTTCCTCTTCGCTGATAGATTCGTGCGAAGAGTGATCTTCTGCTTCTGGGAAACCCTCGCGATTATAGAGCGTTTATTATTCTGAAATGGCGAACACGCGGAAGTAACCTTCGGCATCAGCAGCGGTGCAACTTTTCGCGACACAGCGTTTCTTCAAACCGTTGCGCCCGATAGGGACCGCTATCCATGGATTTCTCTTCTTAACCTGCGGCTTGAGGCCCTCCCCTTCTTCCTTGCCAAGGCTAACAGCTATAGCGGGTGTGGTTTCTTCTTTGAGCTCTTGGACATCCGTAGGCGCTGAAGTCTCGGTGAAAACGAAATGCTTGACAGATCAAAGACATTGGCGTAGGCTCATTTGCTGTCGTGAGTTCACTGGTTACCGGTCATAGAGGTATACCCTTTGGCGGGCGAGACGGCCGTAATTTTTCCGCAGGGAGCTCCGTTGCATCATGTAAAAAAAGCGAGCGCATGGGGTGGAGCAACTGAATTTACTGCATGAGTCTCAGGATGCGGATCGTGAGCAGCCAGAGGTTGGCCTTGTGCCCTGAACTACTCGAGATCGAGGATTTGAGCTGCTCAAACAGCAAAGATGCCGCAGATTGGTGTTAAGGCTGAGGTTTTGGAAGAGTTTTCAGGAGAGATGCCAGGCGGGGGATCTGTGCGAATATCTGAGCAGGATAGATACGTGTCGAAATCTGCGTTGTAGTCTATAAGTTTACACGTCAGACCATGAATAAACAGCGCGTGCGCATCGTACATGCGACTGAACTGACGCTGCTTGCGCAGTATTAGGAAACCTTAATTGCATGCTTGGGGTCGCATCCCGCGCAGTTGTGAATACTGAGGAAGTGTCCCTATACGGGATCGTAACATTGATGCTCAAAATTCATCCCACTTTTACATATCCTCTTACGCCCAACCTCCGCGACGCTCATTCGCGTGAGGCAGCGACTTTCTCGAGATGCCTCCGTGCAACATAACATTTTGCTGCCGCTGATGCCGTTGATCAAGCACGCCAGAACGGAGGGACAGAGCTCAAATGTGTCGCTCATGAGCTAGCCGTCGTCGTGCTCAACATATTTTTAATGTGCTTCCTGAGCATCTCATTTGAAGGCAAAGCCTCGACGGAGCACGCAAAGACTCACGTAGCTCTCTCCATTCCTCGCGACAGGAACGTCGGATGCGATGAGTTGTTTAGCTGGCAAAATGAAAGCGGACATTGCAAATAGATGACTTGCTCATCGTGAATCATATTGTGCAACGCGATGGAGTAAAACCAGGCAGGGGATGATTAGCGATGACAGAAATGTGGTGAGTTTGTTGCGACGGAGAAACTTTTCCCTAAGTGTGGACAGACCCAACTTTGCGAGCAAGGCGGTTATAATTCAAATAGAATGCGAATCATGATGTAAAACTCTACAGCCGACGAATTGCGAGCAATCGAACACGGGAAGTCACCAGTCTTTCGATCAGCTAACTTTTTTGCGACATCCCGAGGCATACCACAATGCTTGGTGAGGCGAGAGACCACGTCCTTCTTCGCATTCACATTCCCCACAGGGAGCCCCTTCAGCTTACGCATGAACGACGTGAAAGGGTTTTCTCCTCCTATCCATGCTTGCTTCCGTCCGTCAGCAGCGAACTCCTTGAGAATGGCGCGGATCGTGGTGCGCGATTCTTCATGCCGGTGTGGATAATTGCCTTCGACGGCGGCGATGCATGCATGACCATCGACGTAGGCCTCCTGGTCAAGGAAAAGTTCTCTCTGTTTCTCTTCCACCAGCCATCCATTTCTTCGCCCTCGTTTTCGAGGTATGCGATCGCTACAATGGTGGGAACCTTCTTGTCGCAGAAAAATTCGTGAAAGAGCCGGTAATTGCTTTGAAGCGTAGAAGTGAGTCTGCTTGCGCGTGCGCAGAGCAGAAGCAGATCAATGTCCCCTTGTCTCTCCAAATCCTGGATGAGCTTATAGGCATTCTCGACAGCATCGAAGTACTGCGGGATTCCCAGGTGTGGTTCCTCGAGTCCAACGGTATCGAACACCTTATGAGACTTGCCATCAAATTCGATGGGATATTTTGGCCAGTGCATCGTGCTGAATTTTGTGTCGTTGGATGTGCTTGCTAGATCCTGCCCCGCCATGAGGTTGACGAGTGAGCTTTTGCCTGCCCCTGCCTGCCCAAAAAGGACGATATTCGTATGCTTGTTCCTACTTATCGATGTTGAAAAAATACGGCACAAAGATCCTGTCTGGATTTTACATACCTTGCAGTCATTTCAGAAGGGACGTTCTGAATAGTACCTCGTAACGGCTCAGCATGAAACCCCTCCACCATTTGACAAGCGGCACTGCTCGATGAGCTTGCAGACAGTGTCGTATGGCTGGTCGCAGCACTCCACAATGACTTCAGATTTTGTCATTATATCCGCGGTGATACATGCGCGGCCACCGTTTCCACGTCTGGTTTCTACAATTCCAATCATGCGGCGACAAGTACAATTGGAATTTTCCTCTTGACTTGGGAGCGGATAAACTTGTAGCTCCAGCGGAGTATGTTAATCGCTTTATCCCCCCGCGCAACAGCGCATGATGAGGCGGACGTCGCCTTGCTCTGTCAGAGTTCCAACGAGGTTCTTCATAATTCTTCGAGATTCCTTGTCGGGGACTGCACCTAGAGGGCGCTCGTCAAGACCTGCCATCCCGCTCAGCGATAACTGCGAAGAGCAGCTAATTGGACCGACCGGGCGTATCGAAAAGCTTTACTTTCGACATCTCGTTCTGAAACAAAACCCCGTGCAATTTGGTTTCAGTTGTACATCCCCTAGCATCGGGGGATATCACAGCCACATCCGTCCTAGCGATCAAATTGACCAACGAGCTTTTGCCAGATCCGGCTTCTCTGAAAATGACAACATTGCACGCGTCTGTGCGATGCGAGCACTTGGGGGTGCACAAGAGACTGCAAAGCGCATGCATCCACTTTCAGGACCTGTGATAACTGTGGCATCTGCTGGCCAATCTGCACAAGAGAATCTTGACACTGCGGACAAGTTCCAGGACACATATCTCCAACCCCTCAGGATATTTGACACTGTGATCGAGCAGATCGCGAATGTATGGGCCCTCCTCTTGATCAGAACTGAACTAATCTCGTTCCATAGGTGCATCCATATGCAAAGATGGCACTGGGCATCTTGTCTTGTGCATCCAAAGTATGTTTACTTGTCCTCTTCCTAACTCCCACTCAGCAACCATTTGTCCAGATTATTCTAGCTCAAGTGGATCGCGACGACGCGGTACTCAAACTTCTTGAGAAGTTGGGTCAAGTCTACAGCTTCGTGACACAAGGCAACATGCTTGGCCGAATCTCGTCAATGCGCATTATCCTTGAGCAGATCTCTCAGCAGATCCATGAATGCGCCCATTTTATCAAAAATTATGCGGAGACCAAGAACTTTTGTGGGTCTTACAAGCCTTTATGCTTTGTACTGTTTCAAGCTTTCTACCATTATTACAGGGAACCGACTCAGAAGGAACGTCATCTCCGAAACGAATGATATGATTCAACAGTACAGCGACGTGTTGGATAAGCTCATGCAAAACTTCCAGGACCAAGTTGCTCACGACGTAGCTATACACATACACCGTGCGGGTAAGGGTTAAGACGTGCTTGTGACTTGACATATATTCATATCTTTCCAGGAGAAACACTGGACCTCAACGGTATAACTTATGCAGTGGCCGCAGGACTAGACACCAGGAAACAATGCCTTGAAGGGACACACACAGAAATCCTTTCCAAGATCACAGAATGGGTCAACAGCACCGGGGACAATGTTCCAGGGGTGCTGTGGTTATCTGGCCCTGCAGGCAAGGGAAAATCGGCCATCGCCCACACCATCGCTAAGTCGTTCAGCGACGTGGGAGGGCTTGGTTCATGTTTCTCTTTTGACCGCGAGCGAGAAGCAGATCGTCGCCATGAAAAGATCTTTTCCACAATCGCACGCGACCTAGCTGACCGTGACCCGGAAATGAGGCGGGCATTGGCAGATGCAGTCCAGAACTCGAGTTCGCTCAAGACTACAGCAGATATCATCCAGCAGTGGCGAAAACTTCTTATTAAACCACTGAGGAAGTCATCTGGGTCAACTGTAGAACCCATCGTGATCATGATTGATGCACTGGACAAGAGCAGTGGAGAAAAGACACAGAAAGACCTCCTCCGCATTCTAGCTGGTAAACATCGCGACACTGCTGTTCCCAAAATCACAGACCTCCCAAACAACTTTCGCTTCATTGTTACCTCTCGCCCACTCAGTGACATCAATGAGGAGTTTCATGGTGTTCAACATATTCACCATATGTTGATGGATGATATCCCAGCAGCATTCGCAATGCGCGACATCGAAGCTTACATATCCAAGGAGCTGGAAGGGTTAGGTTTCCAAGACAGACAGTGTACAGTCCTTGCTGAGAAGGCCGACGGACTCTTCGAGTGGGCGCGTCTTGCCTGCGGGTACATTACAGAATGTCATCCTGGATTATCTGCAATGGATTGCTATGCCGCTGTGGTGTCACGCGATCCTGCTGGAAGAAGCATGCTGTTGTACGACATTTATCACCTCATTTTATCAAACATCATGCACAAGGATCTGCCTTCCAATGTCCAGCAATCGCAGAATCTGAATTTGACAGCACTAGCGAGATTTCACTCAGTGATGCAACAAATTTTAGGCACAGCTGAACCCCTTCCTTTGGCTTCCCTGAACGACATGAGGCTCCATTTTCCAACCCCAGAGGATCATTACGACGTGGGGCTCATGGTAAAATACATGGGTTCCCTTCTCAGCGGCACCACCAACCCAGATTCCCCAATCCGACCCCTTCACGCATCCTTCCTTGATTTCCTGACAGACCAAGAGTACAGTAAAGAGTTTTTCATCGACGTGTCGAAGGCGCAACACAAGCTTGCATTCACATCACTTTGAGTGATGGAACACGGTCTTCGCTTCAATATATGTCATTTAACGTCTTCATATCTTCCTAATTGCGAAGATCCAGGGCTGCGAGAACGAGTTGCAAAATATATTCCCCCACATCTGTCCTATTCTTTTGATTTTGGACTTCCCACGTACAATCCACAGTCTTCGAGAAGGAGCTTGTGAAAGAAGTGAAAGCATTCTTCGATCACGAGCGGCTTTTTTTCTGGCTCAAGTCACTCACCCTCATCGATGCGCTTAGCGGTGCAGTTCCTGCCCTTTCACTCACTCCCCAGTGGCTGAAGGTGAGTAGATTGCCATTGAGTGCCAGATGCAGCGCTCACGCACAACCACAGGGCCATTCCGAATTCAAAGACATCTCGTTGACTGCGATAGACGTATAGAGGTTTATTCAAGTCTTCGGCGGCATGATTTTACACAGCACACCACATCTGTATGTATCAGCACTCCCATTCTCACCTATCAACTCTCCACTATCAAGAATGCTTTCTGCATGGTTTCCAAATACTCTTCGTGCAGTATCTGGACGTGATATGAACTGGCCGGCTGTTCAGACTGTGATCAGGGGGCACACGAGTTATGTCAATTCAGTCTCATTCTCGCCAGATGGAACTCGTATTGTCACTGGTTCTTGGGATAACACTGTTTGGCTGTGGGATGCAGCGACGGGGCAGCCAGTCGGTGAGCCCTTGCGGGGGCACACTGACAGGGTTGCATCAGTCTCGTTCTCGCCGGATGGAACTCACATCCTCACTGGTTCTTGGGATAAGACTGTTCAGCTGTGGGATGCAGCAACGGGGCAGCCAGTCGGCGAGCCCTTGCGGGGGCACACTCATTGGGTTTGATCAGTCTCGTTCTTGCCGGATGGAACTTGCATTGTCACTGGTTCACAGGATAAGACTGTTCAGCTGTGGGATGCAGCGACGGGGCAGCCAGTCGGTGAGCCCTTGCGGGGGCACACTGATTGGGTTGCATCAGTCTCGTTCTCGCCGGATGGAACTCGCATTGTCACTGGTTCGGAGGATAAAACTGTTCAGCTGTGGGATGCAGCGATGGGGCAGCCAGTCGGTGAGCCCCTGCGGGGGCACACTGGTTCAGTTCATTCAGTCTCGTTCTCGCTGGATGGAACTCGCATCGTCTCTGGTTCACAGGATACGACTGTTCGGCTGTGGCTTGCAGTGACAAGGCAGCCATTGACAGACAATCACTTTATTTGCTTCTCACCCAACTCCATCCATGCGCTGTATGACACTTCTGAGCTAATGGAGGGAGAATCCCATGACGACCACAGTTTGAACCCCTTGTCACTGAATGATGACAGTGTTACGACTTGGATAGTTCTTGTGTAACTAATCCAATAAAGGAGTTCTTCGTGTTACGACGTTCGGTTCAGACACTTGAGGGGCTCTCCCTCTAAGTGAAGTTCAAGTATAGACTAGTCTCTATAAGAGCTAGATCGGAATCAAGTATCTTCCTCAGAAGATGATCAAGTATCAGAGAGAACCAAGTAGATTCAAGTTAGAGAAATACAAGTACAACTATCGCAGTATTTATAGGGAACAAAAGAGGCACGGACCAAGCCGACTTTGGAAGTAAAAAAGGAATCAGGAAGAACGTCAAAGAACTATCTAGAATGTTCATGCAATGCATGTTGATAAGCAGTCAGAGATAACGAGAATAAACAGAAGTATCTGGAATGTTCATGCAGCGCATGTTGATAAGCAGTCAACGATAGCAAGAATAGTTCAGGGAAGCGTGATGATGGGAAAATAGGTGGGGCCACTGTAACAGACAGTGGATGGGTGGTAGGGCCCAAGCATCGGCTGTTATTCTGGGTACCACCTGCTTCTCGACATTCATTTTATAGTACTGGGACTGCATTAGTGATACCCAGAGGGGGTCCTGAAGTTGACCTGAGCCGCATGGCACATGGACAACACTGGCAAGAGTGCCGAGAGGGGTGAGTCTCTTCAATGTTCTTTCCGTTCCCCGCACTTACTAAAATCAACACTTGCAGACCTTAGTACTGTGTTGATTGTATTCCGGCAATTGATCCATTATGGAGATTTCAGTTAGAGTTTGAATGTGACACCTGTTACAGTAACATGGAGCCCCTATCTTTTCCTGACCCTTCACCCCATCACAATGTCACACCTTCACCTCTTCACGATTCACCATGATGCTTGATGCACTTCCTGATCCCCGCCGACCCTGACCTTCTGTGATAGAAGCTAGACGCTTCCATTTGGACCCTTGATCTATGGCCTCATGGCCTGACTTCCTTTTCCCTTGATGTTCCCACAGAACCCTATCCCTGACCGCATGGACTCCTGCCTGCTCATGCCTTCCCGATATATCTTTCCTGACCCTTGTACGATTAACAGACCTGCCCTGAACACTGTGATCCTTACCTATATATAGTCGATCCACTTGTACTATTATTCCTTAACTTGATTCTACTGGGTTTTACCTTGACTTGTATATTCTCTTGAGTTAACTCTCTTGAGTCTGATCACGAAACCTCTATACTCTTGGATCGCTATCCTTGAGTCCGATACATCTTCTCTTAGACCGTTTGTCTTTGAGTCGATACCGATCTCTCGTCTAGACTTAACCGTCGAACACGAAACCCTTCTTCGGTCGCTGCCTTAGAAGCTTACCTCCCCTTCTGTTCTGTCACAACCTGACGGCTTAGGCTACCAGGTATATTGACGTTCAACCGATACACGACACGATAGCTTAGGACCGTCGTCCTTCGCTTACCCATCCCAGTCCGACTACGACCGTTGTCGTAACAACACCGAGTGTACAGTAGATCATGCTTTGTATTCTATTCTATACCGCATCCAGTCCGAGTTGAGGGTTATCCGAGCCAAAGACTCACTGAAGAGCTGAACGTAATCATGGACCAGGAATATCGTTTTTGAAACTTCCATCAGAGATGCGCGTGCGTCATGTGGAGTGGATTCTGTTGAAGTATGTTCATTGGTGCTTCCTCATAGCAGATTAAGAAGCTGAATGAACAGAAGAACATCGCTGTTCCGGTCATTCTGTGGCCATTTATGTTCCCGTCGCACTTAGCAAACAAGGGGTTCAGAAATATGAGAGCTGGGTTCGACCAAATATGTGGTTCATTGTGTACATTGTACAGTACAACATGAACATTGATCGCGGTAACCAAAACGAAGGGCGGTGAGAACGAGAGCACCATGAAGATGATACGTGCAAGAATCATGTATCACAAAGGCGTGAAAAAACATACGAGACAAGAACCAGCTGAAGGAAAGCGAAAGAGCACCGGGCAAGAGCAAGCGATCGAGAGTCGAAATTGAGGCAAAGCGAAGAGTAGGAGCTAACATGAGCGGTTCCAGCAGGCTGAATTTAGGGGGATATTAGATGCAGGCGCACTGTGGTGTCATAACGAGCGTCCTCGTCAAAGACAAAGACCTCGACAGTCGGGCTCTAGAGACTTGACAGGAAGAGTCTAAAGACTGCAAACGAGTTCCGTAAATCTGCATTTAACTCGTAATAAATGTGACAATGTGAATATATGCATATATACCAGGCCATGATACGCAGACTGAGACTCACAAATCCGCTGAGTGTTACAGTAACATGGCACCCCTATCTTTTTCTGACCCTTTCACCTCTTCACCTTGTCACGACGTCACACCTTCACCTCTTCACGATTCACCATGATGCTTGATGCATACTTCTTGATCCCCGCCGACCCTGACCTTCTGTGACAAAAGCTGGATGCTTCCCTTACTTCTTGATCCCCGCCAACCCTGACAGAAGCTAGACGCTTCCTTTGGACCCTTGATCTATGGCCTCATGGCCCTACTTCCTTTTCCCTTGATGTTCCCACAGAACCCTATCCCTGACCGCATGGACTCCTGCCTGCTCGTGCCTACCCGATATATCTTTCTTGACCCTTGTACGATTACCTGACCGGCCCTGAACACTGTAGTCATTCCCTATATATAGTTGATCCCTTTGTACTATTATTCCTTAACTTGATTCTACTGGGTTTTACCTTGACTTGTATATTTTCTCGAGTTAACTCTCTTGAGTCTGATCACGAACCCTCTATACTCTTGGATCGCTATCCTTGAGTCGATACTTCTTCTCTTAGACCGTTTGTCTTTGAGTCGATACCGATCCCTCATCTAGACTTAACCGTCGAACACGAAACCCTTCTTCGGCTCTCACCTTAGAAGCTTACCCACCTGATGCTGTGGCCTTCGTGCATGATATAACTGTTACTATAGTACAGGCCTCATGCATGTTTTACTGCTATTCTAGTATGTAATTCATGCATGATTAGTACATATAGTCTCACTGTATTATACGAGCGCCTGTCATACATGACACATTGAGTGATTCTTGCATGATCCCACCTCGCGTGCCTGTCATGCATGATATATGATACCCGCCTGCCATACATGACACCCTGAGTAATTCTTGCATGATCCCACCTCGAACGCTTGTCATGCATGATCCCACCTCGTGCGCCTGTCATGCATGATGCATGATACCTTGAGTAAGTTTTGCATGGTCATACATGATCCATTTGCTATCATGCACGATGTGCACGTTAGTATGTCATGCACGATGTGCACGTTAGTATGAGTATGTCATACATGATGAGTGCTTAGTGATGGACGGTGTATGTCGTCCAAAAAAAACATAGATTCAACTAGTACGAACATTACTACATTGCATGGACCGAAATGAAACGAGCTACTGTCATCTACGTTGTCGTGCCCGCAGGTGGGGTCGGGAGGGTAGGAGGAGACCACAAGATCTGAAAATGAGTCGACAGCTGCCAACGCAGTGATGCCTGGCGTTCAGCGTAAGCCACCAAACCTTCCCTCAATGTATCATCCAGGGACTCCGAGTCACGGCGCTCTCGCTGACTCTGCCACCAACCTCCCTGCCAGTCCAAGAATGCTATGACCCGCTGTTGTTCCTCCTTCAGTAAGTCAACCTCCTCTTCCCATCGCATCGCACGCGCACGAGCCTTACACCATTCAATATGAAGAGCTGGAGAGCGTATGGATCAGAGCGTCTTCCAAAAAAAGGCCGGTCTTACCATCATGCAGCCCAACACTGGCGTTCTCTGATACTCCTGGTGTTTTCCAAATCCAAGAAAGGTGCCATGTCCCCTCTGTCTCCTTCCCCCACATATCCTTCAGTGCTTTCAGGTCCTTGCTCCGATTGAGAGGCTTGAAAACCTCCATCCATGTCCGATCCTCGTTGAGAATTCGTGCTAAATTTGCAAGCGCTGCCCTCGCGACTTCGTAACGCTCAGCGGCCATGTTGACTTTGGCATCAGCCTTGCTGATTGTACTTCTTGCGCGTGTATTTGCCACCTGGCAACAATATGGCTATCCTTGAATTTATATAGGTGAGAACGGAGACGTAGCAGATTCCGGATGTCCTTTAGGGCGTTGTTTGCTTGAGCGTAGCATAGTTTCCATTCTAAAGTACGAAGTTGTATCGCACACTGTGTGTCAGGGCCGACCGCAGATGGTAACCACAGCTGGAAAGCTTCGACGGGTGTAGAACTGGCGGGGGAACATGGTTCTTCACTGCCGCGCAGGAGTGATACAAACGGCATGTAAAGTAGCTGAATATCTTGCCAACTTTCGATTTTCCTTCGTAACGAGTTGGTATGCTGCTGGGCCTTTGCAAGTTGGTGATCAGTCGCATGCACACCGAGTGCCGCAATCTCAAGAGACAAACGTCGCCTATGACCTATTAGTATATCGCAGAGCTACCAGTGAGGCTACGTACTGTTGATCTTCCAAATCAATACCAGAGCTGATTAGGATGGAGGGAGAGACATCTGCGTGAAGAGAGATGTTTGTGCCGGATTCAAGTTCTGCAGCTTCAATACGTGCGAGCTCCAACTGCACAGCAGCATGTGTCTCGGCTAATGAAAAGTCAGCGCAAAGTACTTGAAACGATAAAAAAGAACGTACGTGCTACACAGACTTGGAATGGATTAGTCTGTGAGTGATCCTGCTCCCAAGCCTCGACCTCGATTCTCCATTGTGAAATATCCTGTGCTTTCAGGCAGCTCTCAAGTTCAATGAGCTCCCGTTGATGCTTGGCCTTTTGCTCGATCGCGTCCACTAGCTTGCGAGCAAGCAGTCGTCCTGAGTAATCCCATCAGATTATGAACAACTCAAAACATAATCAACACTTACCAAGCCATATACAACGCTTCCAATTCCAGTCACCGAAGTAATCATCGAGTGTGTCCCGCCGAGAGCCTGGGCCCATTTCCTTCGTACTTGATGTGATCGGGTTAATGTTGGCCCACCCACGTTCTGGAGCTTCGCCATCAGTACGGCCAACATACCGTGAGAGATTAAATGAAAAGTCGATTTGACATTGCTCGATATGGGCAGGTAAATGGAACTTTGGGACGAGAAAGGTGATTGCCTTGCTGCTAAAATCCAAATAAAATCTGGAAGGAAGTGTCATCATCCGTGACCGCAAGTGCTTGGACCATTGGCATGCAATGTCGTACGAAACATTGAGGACAGTGACTTCGTTGTGGCTCATTGCAGAGAAAAAGAGATAGTCCATATTTATATATCTACAAAGTGTTGTTAGACAGTAGCCGACAAGATGAATGATGAGGAATACATACTTCTCGCCTTTTTGTAAGTCACCAACTGCGTTACGAAGCTTCATATTATGTCGAGCACAATCTACTGTCCCGACGCCTGTTGCGGCAAGGCCTCTGGCATTCTTCGTATCAGCCATGTTGACGGCATTGTGACTAGCACATGTACTGCGCTATAGGTATCCAAGTTAGTGGTAGCACGAATTGATAAAACAATTTGAGAAACTTACCTCCTGGTTTCGGTCTTTGTGATCATCTAGATACCCCTTGTATGCCCGCTCATCTACGAAATATGACCATCCCTTACTGATTCCAGGATCGATGCTGTCACTCGATACGAACTTCCGCTTCAGACGGAAGTTTGTGTCAATACCGACAAACAAGGCATAAAGCCATCTACCTTCTGATAAGAAAAATCACTATAACCATGGAATCATATAAGACTCACCGCTTATCAGGCGGGGCATCTTTCCAATCCTCGGGAATATTTTTTCCGGGTTGGGGACATGCAGGACAGAGCACTGCGCACTGTCCTGGCTCAGTTGTCCCCACGCCATCTGGGCAGTGACCACGGGCAAAATGTTTGAGTAATTGATGATCCGCCACTCATGGACTACACTGTAAGAAGGTTGGGTAGCGGTCCTAAGGCTTCTATTAGATCTTGTAATAAATGTGAATTTAGTAAATTAGATACCTTTGGCGGATCAATGCCAACGTTGTCCGATAAACAGCGCAAGGCTAATGATAGAATTCAAACGCTGATGCTTTTGATTCAAACGACAGCTTGTGGTATTGCTCGAGGACGTTGAATGTAGCCGCAGTTTTCAGGATCGGTTACGGTTGCCGGAAAAAGTCAGTGCTTCGTAGGAGCTGTTTGACATGGGTCTGCATGGCCCCGCAAGCACAAAAATCTAATCCTACTTCGTGTATCCCGTTCAGTATCGATGATTACGAAATCATCATTGAATGCTCGTTGAGGATTGCAGCAAGTGTCGTCCATACGATGGCCCAACTGGATGCATAGCCCTAACGTCTTTAAGGATATTCGTTCAAAGTAATGGCCATTCCAGCGCTACAAACGTAAGGGATGTCAGCTGATACAACCATGTGAGATGAGATCTCGGGCATCACCTGAAGACGGTGCAATGGCAAATGTCGGTGCCTTTCTACAGCGCATGGAGGGCAACAGAGCTCCGGTAAGAAGCAGTCTGTACATCGGATGGTCCGAGCACTTTTTTGGCAGTGTCCACATAGAGAATCCTCAATATATTCTCCGCGGCCTTCGAGGCGAATCATTTCGTCCAAAAATGTTGGACATTCTGGCAGCCATGCTGCAAGGGGGTGATCCTACATACTCAATGAGTAAGATGTTGTAAGTATCGAAAAAATGCTTACGCCGGCTGTCCTTTCCTCTTGGAAGTCTCAGTCTCAACATCATCATCGGGGATGGGCATATACTCCAGAAAATCGCCAGGATCATATATTTGGAATTGGTTGCGAGCTGATGGTGGATCCTCGTCATGGAGAGAAACTGGAGGTATGTTGACACCAGTTAGGGACTCAGTGCGCACTAATGGCTTGCCGGATTGAAACGTGTAAATTGAAGCCGTGTGGATGTGGGTTGGAGGCGCGTCTGTGAGTTGCTCAGCTGTATGACGCACCAGTTTTTGCTTTTTCTTCCCCATAGTAGATAGAGGAGGGCAAGGGTACTCATCCTGACCTGTAAATCTGAGAAGAATCATATTACATAGACAATGCCAATGGTGGATCGAAGAAGCAAATGCGAATGCATTTGTTTACATCTGTTGAATTCAGATGCTTCTGCCCATTTTGGACAAGTCACTTGCCATTACTCGTGCCCACCATCATTCATGCATGTACCATGCACAGCACACACTTCCCCCTGAGAATCTATCACGACCTGCCCAGCGTCTATAAAAATGAGCAAACAGTAGGTGTATTTTTCAACATCCAACATCTCCAAATTCAGTATCAATTGCTTTTCTAGATGACGTCTACCAACTCAATTTCAGCGTCTTCTAACAATGCAGTCGGTAAGCTTACTATGACTTGTTGTTTTGAATATGCGCTTACTCTCTGCAGATACTCTGGTGGCAGCACTCATGGGTCTCAACATGAGTCCTGTCACTGCAAACACCATTGTTACGGTCATACAAGCGATCACTTCCGGCGAGCCCTCCACTCAATTAGCGTCACCTCCTGTTCATATCCCTGAACATGCTGATGAAGCGGCGGAGGCAGGAGTGCACGCTGACCATGCTACGAGCGACGTAATCCCTGCAGAGACTCCACCTCCCCCCACCAATATCTCACCAACGCTACCTTCTGGAAACTCCCCCACCACCACCACCACCACCACCACCACTCTGGTGCCTACCACTGTTACTCCCACCACTACCACTCCGGTGCCTACCGCTGTTACTCCCACCACCACCACCACCACTCTGGTGCCTACCACTGTTACTCCCACCTACGCAGACCCTGTTACGTTCCCGCCCAGTTTCGTTTCATACCGAGGCTTCCAATATGAGATTCCTCATGCGTCCGCTCAAGCACCGTTCTACTGTGTGACTAAGGGCAAACGTGTTGGTGTTTTGTCTACGTGGTAAGTACTATATTTTGCGCGTAAGTTATTGTATATACTGACAAGGAATCAACAGGGAAGATACTTCCCCCCAGGTCACGGGTGTCAGCGGTTCCATCCAAAGCCGTTGCCCGTCTATTGAAGTGGGTATAGCACGCATTCACGCAGCCATCGAGCGCGGAAACTGCCAGTACTTGGGGTGAACGGCAAAGGATCGCATATTGATACACGGCACGCGGGAATTGTACTTAATGTAGCTGTCTTTTTGTATGAGTCGCAGCAATTTTATTTTCTTGATCGAACATATGCGTGATTCAACTATCTATGGTAGATGTCGTATATATAATGCACAAGGTAGGACAATGGTTCAGTTGGAATGCTGGGTAGCAGAACACGATATCGATAAATAGATCTCCCAAGAATCTGCGCTAAGGGAAAATACATGGACAACGCCTCATTAACATGATGTATCGCCCTTCTTCTGCATGGGACTTCGTATGATACATTGATACCTTCGCTAATCTACATACTTTGTACAGTGAATAGTTCGTTGAGTGTGAATTCTTGAACTTTGGATTGTGTGAACGGACTCGCAACTCAAACGAGTATTAGACGTCACAACACCATTACACTAATTCACAAGTGCACACATACATCTCTTCAAACATCTCTTCAGACTATTTGACCTTTCTTCCTTCAATATTAATATTCCTACATGGCATGACGCAAACTGCACCAGTCAGTAGAAGACCGCCGAGAGGCCGCCAAGATATATCGAAAGACATACTACGAGAAGTATGTTCGTTTTCATTTTCGTCGTGGAAAATTATCATTCAATCCTCACACAGAAATAAAGCCGCCATCTTGTAGAAGATGCGATTAAAATACAACACGACCAAGTAAGTAAATTTATTTCAATTATTCTGTGCACTAAAACAAGTCCAGGGGTTTATCTACTAGTAATACAGCTTCACGGCGTCATCGCACCTGCGATGATGCCGTGAGCGATGACGCCGTGAGCTTGACTCGGAACTGTGCAGAAGAGGGTGAACATAGCTCGTATGTTTCATATCATAATCTGTGACAATTTGAAGCTCACTTTTACAATTCAGAACTGACCCAGATACGAGATTTCGCAAGCTAATCAACGGTTCCACTCATAGGTTCCTAGATAACTTGACATTGCAGTACATCGGTGGGAATCATTCGGAAGAGTCCCGGCAGCCCATTCAGGACGCACTCAATATTTCACAGGAAGCTGAGGACGCAATTAGAGCAAGCGGAGGTGATAGTACGGAATGCCGCCAAGTCATACTGTCCCTCGAGGACGTTCTCCTGCGTGTTTTTGAGGACGAGGACATTAAATCCGCACATAGTCGGTGGCTTCTCAGGTATCAGCTGGCACCTGATGTCATTATTGCGTAGTGAACTCGTACTTGTATAGATCAGTCTTAATTTCATAATTTCACATTTTAATAAGTGCTGGTGCCTTAAGTGAGCTTGCTGGTGTGTAGATTCGGAAACTGCCTTGTGGCTTGATGGAGGTATGAAATGTAAATTCGGCGATTGCCGTGTGGCTTGATGGAGCTATGAAGTCAAATTTTATATTTTTGCACGTCGGCTAAACATATAGCATTTATAAATACTTGGTGTAAAAGGTGCGCGCGTAAACATTTTATTTTCATGGCATATGAATGACATATATTAGATGGTCGCTACTGAATGGACTTCAAAGGAACAAAAGGAGTGGCTGACTAGTCACCTTCCTGGTTATTCAAAATGTTCTTCTAAAGCGAGCTACGTGAAGTTCTGGCCGCCAGTCTATGAACAATGGGAGGAGAAATGGCCCATACGTAAGGAGCTCTGGCCAGACCTCCCTGAAGACGAGGCTCTGAATGTGGTGCAATCGGACATAATGGGGAAGGCAGTCAGAAACATCAGAAGGTGCGTGCCGTTACTTAATATTAAGATGACCTCGAGGTACTAACTAAATGAAGCAATTACGAACGTGGGTATCATGGCATTCAGCGCGTTCTGCCTCCCGCAAAGGTCAAGCCGCCCAATCATCTGATAGGGCGACTCGTCTACTTAAAGACCTCCTCCAACCTCGGGGTGCGAGAGCCCTGAGTGAAGCCGAGATGTATTCCCGCCTATATTACAAAACCAGCATTCGCCCAAGTGTGGAAGCCGCTATCAGTGAACGTGGCTCAACGACACGAGGTGAAAGGCTTACCATCGTCCGAGACATGGCACGTTGAGTCGGTACGACTAAGGAGACCATGGATAGTGATCCATGGGACTCAGACCAGACAGATGGGAAGAAGGTCATGGAATGGGTGCAGTCTATCTACTAACATGCGCTATATGTATCTATCTAGCTGCCTCGAGGTCCAGGCAAGACCCCTGGCACCTCTAGCAGACCCCTGGCCTAGCCCCTGGCCAACCCCTACCGACACAACGTCAATGCTGGGAGTGGGAGGCAGATGCAACCATAATTGCTGATGTCAAGGCCAGGATGAAGGCTAAGAAGAAGTCCAAGAAGTCAAACGAGGATGGTGAAGATGATGACGAAACACTGGAAGATTACAATGAGGAGGAGGAATTGACCACGGAGGACTTGCTTGAGTACGTTTTCCCTAACTGCATCATTTTATAATTTAGTAACACGTTTGACAGAACGCAGGAAAACTTACCTGCCATTTTCAACACCATTTTGACGTACCTCGCGGAACGCACTAAATTTTCGTTCTTGGTGTTGATGGGTGGGCCGGATCCCTCAAACAACAATACAATCACTGTCTCATCGTAAGTCTGGCTTTACATGGCCTAAAAATCAAGTACTCACTGTGTAACTAGCATTGATGTAGGTACCACGAGGCTTGGACATTCAGCCCCACAGTGTTTGCCCGACTTCAAGGAAAATTTTCTTGGAACATATCTGCAGTTCCTTCAAGGCGTACAAGGCAAGTGAATAGTTTGCGATGGATGAGGATTGTACTTACATGATAATGATTTAGGATATAGCTCCCCCGAACCTGAGGGAGAGGACACGGACAAGAGCGAGGGCGAGGATGAGGGCGAGGTCGAGGCAGAAGAGCATGAAGACCAAGACAAAGTGGACGCGGACCCGTTTGCAGATGAGCCGGAGAATGAAGTAGAGGTATCCAAGGGACAGAAGGGGGATGCTTTGGACGGGGAGATGGACGGGAAGCAGAATGCTCAAGAGCGGATCCCTGACATTTATTCCCCAAACTACGCCATGCATGGCTCCGTCCAGCCCGAGGATCGTTCAACGTTCCAGAATATCAACATGCATGATCCTTCGAATCTTGCCATGCATGATGGCAACTCAAACTTCTTGGACACCACCAACTTCCACAGCAATGACGCTTATCTGGCGAATCTCAGCAGTCTGCTCTTCAACAATTACAATTACTGGACTCCTCCGACTGGACAGTACAATGCATTCGAGAATTATCAGACTTCCGGTCATGTCCCTAGCTACCCCCAGCCATATAATTATCCGCCGAGTCAGTCTTCCGTCCCTCATCCTTCAGAGCCGCCTGTGCCATCAGGCAGTTCTCCTGCCAGCTCTCACCCTTTAGACACCCTACCGCCGCTAGGCAGTTCTCCTGCCAGCGCTCACCCCTCGGACACCTTACCCCCGCTAGGCAGTTCTCCTGCTAGCTCTCACCCTTCGGACACCTTACCCCCGCTAGGCAGTCCTCCTGCTATCTCTCACCCTTCGGATACCTTACCCCCGCTGCCACCAGTTCACGTGGCAAACTCTCCTGCACCAGAATGTCTGCCTCGAGGAAACTCTCAGGCGTCCGGTGCAAAGACATCGGGTGTGAAGGTGTCCAGTGCGAAGGCTTCTGGTGTGAAGGCGTCGGGTGTGAAGGCATCTAAGAAAGGTAAACCCGAAGCTCCTGCCCATCAGTCTGAAACCATCACCCGCAAGTCTGCGCGTCCACCAAAACCATCCACCCGTAACGAGACAGCAAATACCATTGGTGCTCAAGCGCTCACCGAACTGCGGGAGAAGGAAAATGCTCCTGGAGTGGGGAAAAAGGGCCGTAAACGTGGGCCAGACGTGGGTGGGGAGCCCATCGCTAAGTACTGTGTATTTCTTCTTATGAAGTGATCTGAACCACTGACCATTCTTACAGGAAAAAAAAAGTACCTACTAGTGCCACCGTCTGAGATGTCTTGAGAGTTATTGGTCACCCGTATTATAATTCATATTTTCGTATATTAGTCTTGACAATATATCTTGTATCTGACTGCGCGCAATACATTGAGCTTTTTCTATTATTCAGCGTGACGAAAGGGTGCATGATATCCTAATACAAGAAAACTATGGCGCTGGATGCATTCAACTATTCTACATGCACAAAACACAGAAACAAAAGACTCGGATACCTTTCAACGGGTACAATGTCGGACCTACTATTTTGACATCGCCGCGTAACGTGTACAAACTGGTTATCTGGAATCAGATATCGACCGTGGACGAACCTTATTAATAACCATTGAAATGGCGACATATGTAAGTCCGGAAGGAAATTGCTTGTTTTGCAGATTTCGAGGGGGAGGATGCACATCGGGGATCCGAATATTTAAGACTGGTTTGAATGTCGTGCGAAATGTCAAGATAATACTTAATATTTAGGTTGTCGTCTTAGCGGATGTAAAATTTCAAATGTTAAAGAGGTCTTGCATGACAAGAGAAATATAAAGTATCAGCGAACATTTTCTTACTGTCTGAATGTCAATGACAACAAGAAATATAAATATATCTTTAATGCTGGCATAAACTTCGAAATGAAACTTCACACTTAAGACTCAAAAAAAATTCAATTTTAGCACGTGACTGAACATCTACTCATGTATGAAGTTTAGACCGTCATGTAGACGGGCGTTAAAATTCAAAATGCCCCCTGACAATAAAATGTGAAAATAAATCATCAAGTTTTATCTCTAGATAAAACCGATCGCCCGACGATCACCCACTCACGGCTGAATCATCGCCCACTTACAACATCATCGCCCACTTGAGTTTGAGATGCTAAATATTAGGGGACTAGACGATAAGTTATAGACACAAGCCGCTTGATGCCTTTCGGTTAGAAACACGCGTTAACGCACTCTTATTCAAATGACGGGGTGGACAGCTTATATATTGTAAATGTACGCAAAACTATGTAGTAGAGTGAAATTGAAAATCAATCCTGTTTGACAGTAGTTAGACACCGGTGATTTCTCGAGGTGAATTGTACTTACACGAGATAGAGATAGTATGACTACAGTATCACTCGAAACTGCCCATCGAGCAAAGTGACTAACAACCCAGGATACCTTGACATTTTCCAAATGACTACTTGAGCTTGATGAGTACATTTTGGCGGGAAAATGAGGATACATAGCAAATGGATCAATGGACTGATCATGACGCGGGAGGAGCTTGTGGACAGCAAACACCAGTTCACCCGTGGGTGTAGCATAGATATGTTGGATACTGCCGGGGACAGGGGACGATAACCGGTCACCCTGAGAATAATAAAAAACTTGACTATTCCCGACGTGAGTAGAGGCTCTGCTATAGACAATCCCGTTGAATTTTAGTCGTGCGCGTAATATTGCTGTGCGTCGTTTGATAAGCGCAAACAAGGCTTCAGGAACAGCCACAGCTACAGCGGAGGAAGGAGCCTGTAAACTGTCGTCCAAAGGATCTTCAGCAAGTTCTTCACCGAGAGTTCCAGCGCTCTTGGGAGCATACGTGCTGTCAAACAGAAATTTGCACTCTTGAATAGCCGGCGAACAGTCAGGTCAACTGAGCCAACGGTGAAGTTTTGAAGTTTTGATGAATGAGTATAACATGGTAGTTTCCGACTCGCCTTGAAAAGTCAGTCCCGCTATTACACTGGTGTTCCGTAAAAACTCACCAGTCTTATGGTTTACTGGAAGACGCTGAAGTATTCCAATCAAACGTTCGAAAGGAAAGCACCACCAAGAGTGGGCCGGGCCAAATAGGAGTAGAAAGTCGTATATGTGGAAGGCAGCGTGGTGATTTGGACGCAGAGCGATGTTAGGGTATATCTTCTTCAAATTTCCAACATAAAGCGCAATGTGAGAGCGATACGCGTGTGCTCTCTCTACAGTCGTTGTTCGGGCGCACGTGAGATACACCGCGCAAACAAGTTCCATAGTATGGTCGAGAACAGCTCTAAGGTGAGTGCCGACTTCATCGGAAGGATGCGAGGTACCGGCCCCCCACAAGCTCACGAGGGCAATAGGAATGTAGACGGTGATTAGAGAGCGCCATTCGTCCGCTTTCATCGTCCCAGCAGATGCGCTTCCGAAATCGCTTGGGACTGAAGTAAACCAAGATGGAATGGTTATTTGTTGGATGACATCTCGGACACGATGAAGGGCATCTAGAGAACCAAGCTGAAGCTCCTTCTCAGGAGCAGCAAAAGGTTTTCCACAGCGCTGAGAACAAACATAAAAAAGTCGCAACAAAGTAGACATATTAAGAACTTACCCATTCCACGAGAGCTTTGACGTAGTCGATTTTGAACAATCTACTAGATTTCTGGGGAGCGCATCGCAAGGCCTCGCAAACAAACTTGAGAGGTCCCGTATTCTTGCGAAACAGCGAATTTTTTAGGTTATCCAGATTTTCGTCATCGGACGACAACTGGGAAACAAGAAGGGTGCATATAGCAGCGACCTGAGTCATTTCCTTCGAAGTCATCCCCGGAGGCATATCGCCTAAGTCGCATGAAAAGGCCGGAGGGGGTAAAGTCGATGAAGATGAAGTGGTTGCTGTAGTCAAACCGAGAAGGGTACGAGAGTGATGCTGGACTAAACCTTCCAATATACAATGCATCGGGTCGACAACAAGCTGGCGTGAGGGATCCCAGTATGGCAAACACCACATCTCTGAATAGCGCACACCGTGAGCTTTGAATAGTTTCTCTCGTTCGGAGGTTGTCGCAGTGTCCCTCCACCGCTCAGCGAACTTCCGGAGTTCATCTTTATCACGAGGTTTCCAGCTTTCGAAGTCCACTCTACCGTACGTGGTCTTATGGTAGCAATTACATGCGCTACAATAAAAATGGCTACTGGTTCCAGCTAAAGAAGCAAGATGACAAGCGGCAGGAAGATCACAAACTGCCAAAACAATAGCGCTGCGAGCGAGCCGGCCAGTGGGAAAACAAGCAGTCTTGGAAAAATTGATGCCGCGCTCCCATGAGTCTACCATGTCATCAATAAGTGGCCGGATGTAGTGATTGAGATGCTCGAGGGACGGTTGTTTCGGACCTGGGATGATTCCTGCAAGATACATGTTTTCGGGCTTATACCTGATATCCAATGGTAGATTCAAGCATGCCATAGAGATGATGCCAGAGGATTTGTTGGCACCACGCAAATTCATGCCCTCCAGATTGAAGAAGTCCACGAAAAGGGCGAAAGCATAGCACCCTTCATCTCCTCTATCAATAAAAAGTGAACCTGGGTCTGGGCCACAAAATTGACGGAGAAACTGAGCCTCGAATGCGTGTTTCATCAAAGGCGGATGGGGGGAATTGATCAAGTCTTGCAAATCGTCGCAGGCTTGATCCACGGGCAACAAAATGATCTAGCAAAGTGAGTTGCTCAAGATCATCCGCGAGAGCCGTAATAGATAATGGTGGAGTGGGGTTGGGGTGAGAAACAGGCGGTTTGTTGTCGATAAGAGCGAGTGCATCCAGCTGTGAGACTAACAAATCCGTGATGGTGTTCGTGCGGGGAGAGCCAGTGGCAGCACGTTCTGCTTGGGTACGTTTGGTGCGTTGTAAATGTGCAGCCATAAGACGTTCTGCAATGAGTACCCCCTTAGGCGTGCCATCCTCAGCACGATCACCGGTTTCGATGCATTCCTCACAGAAGCACCGTTTGAACAGTGAGCGAGACACAGGCATGAAGAACGGGGCGAATAGCAACGACAGTATGTACCGTCGTTTCTATGAATTGATAAGAGTGAATTGGAGAGCAAGAAACGACTGCGTAGGCAAGCTTTTGAGTCAGATGAACAACAACGATAAAAGAAACAACTCGCAATTTCCAGTAATGAAATAACAAGACAGCAGTAAGCCTTGTATGAAAATATGACGTTCATTACAAGAACTACCAAACAAGGATATAACTCTGTTGTCAGGGAGAGCTGGCGGCGACCTGAGAGGACCTGAGCTTGGTGTGGACTGATCGTTGGCAAAGAACGCCGGGCGGGAAGGGCTGCCATGGACGTCGAACCAGGAAGCGATGGATGTTGACTTAGAATTAGGACGTTGGCGGTGGCGATGAACGGGCATGACCGTACATACAGTCATGCCCTGGAGAAGGTCGTGAAAGGTCGCTGCGACGAGACGTCTGGTGACGATGAAAGTAGAGAACACCGGGCACGACCGTACATACAGCCATGCCCTGGAAGAAGGTGAGGAAGGGTCGTTGTCGACAAGGAGAATGGGAGGCTCGACAGTACAAACCGTCGAACCTCCTAGAGTAATAGTTACTAAGTTCCATAGGACTTAGAACTTTGGCGACGAAAGCGCCCAACAATCACAAACACCCATATTAGGGAATTGTTACATAACATTGACTCAGTTTGAACTTTGTACTGTCAACTCTCTCGAGCTACTTCATCGTCCCCATCCTCGAAGCACAACAGTATGTACTGTCGTGCTCATCGAGTTCATCGTTCATCGTTCCTATCTTCGGAGCACGACGGTATGTACTGTTGTGTCTCCTATCCCATTACCACCCACCACCTCGCCAACTCCATCCTTTTTCGCGGAATGATCAAGCCATCAACTCCGGGTCATCCGCCTTCGCTTACTGCGATCCTTTAGATCACGCTGGCCCATTAGTCAGGTAAGCCCATTTGTTGACAGATCCAACCATTAATCAACCAACATGTCCAGCCGTCAACACACGTCATCCCCTCCACCGTACATACAGTGGAGTGGGCAATGGCTAACTCGCTCTCGCAACGATCCAGCCAGCTGTTAACATATGTCATCCCCTCCACCGTACATACAGTGGAGGGGGAATTGACTTATCTTCCGTTCCCTGCGGTTCACGTACACCGTATATTCAACACGCTGCTATGCTACACCAACTTTCATCCATCGGAATGTCTCATCTGACACATTCAACCTTTCTACCTGACCTCCAGTAAGACCATCAATCCATCTGCCGTTGTATAGGGCCTTGGGTAATCCAGTGACCGGGTTCCGTACAGTCATTGAATTTCCCGATGCGCGTATCCTCTTCATTGGTTTGGAACCCTGGGGCGCGAAAATATCATTATCCAAGACCCTCTGATTATCGATGATATTCAGTTCTCGCTCTATCCCGCAACGCCATGCCATGTTCTTGACCCGGAGCACACATTCGACGTCGTTTTCAATATCACTTTCTTCTGAACTCATACCCCGTCTCCCAGCGTCTTGACTAGTTTTTGAAGCCACTGCCAAGCTGGTAGGTCGTCGTCCTCGCCATCTTTCTTCAGCTCAATAACTTGCTCCAGGACTTTTGCTCTGCGGAGAT